AGCCCACAGCCAGTGACCGTTTTCTTGTGAGAGTGCTGGAGGCTGAGGGACTTCCCCTTACCTACTTTCTTCCCCATCACACTTCAGCTGAAGAAGCAGAGAAGGCTGGCACCAAAGCTCTAGACTCGCCAAGACCGGTTTGGCTCAGTGGATAGAGCGTCGGCCTGCGGACTGAAGGGTCCTGGGTTCGATTCCGGTCAAGGGCATGTATCGATACATTGGTTGCAGACACATCCCCAGTGGGGGTTATGCAAGAGGCAGCTGGTCGATGTTTCTCTCTCATCGATGTTTCTAGCTCTCTATCCTTCTCCCTTCCTCTCTGTAAAAAAATCAATAAAATATAAATATATATATATATATATATATATATATATATATATATATATATATAGCTCCAGACTGGAGGATGTGGCTTGTGGGCAGAGCTGGTGATTCGTGCTTCTGTCACCTGCTCTCAGGCTAAGGTTCCCAAGGGGGTGACTTTGCTTTGTATTTGAAACATTTCCTCATCAGTTCATCTGGTAGGGAAGTGCAAGGCCACAGCAGCTGGCAGTGGTGGCTGAGAGGAAGTTGGTGTAGACAGGATATGATGTCTGCCAGAGTAGTGCCAGGCTCCCCACTCCCTCCCCAGTGGCTTTCTTCTAAGGGAGACGATAGAAAACTATTCATAACACACACTTGGGCTCACTGGGCAGGTGACAGTGATGTGCTTAGGGTGTGCACAGAGCCAGAACCAGGCCTGAGGACAGTCTGCTCCGATCTCACTTGAGTTCAGCTGGCAGCATCCTGACCCCGGTTAGACAGGAGACCTTGCTCTGGGCCCACCTTTGGCCTTTGGTTCCTTGTTGTGGTCTCTGTGCTGAGATTGGCCCTTAGCAAAGTAGTTCTGGAGAGAACATTCAGAGTTGTATTTGCGCCCCCACCCCCACCCCAGCAATCCATACAACCAGCAGTGGGGGATTTTGTTGGCGCTTCTCTCCTGGGGAGGTTCAACCACCTTGGGGGTTGCTGAACTTTCTCCACTTATACAGTATTTTTCTAAATTCTACCATTTCTAAATGCTGACCAGAGATCCCACAACCCTACTTCCTTTTTTGAGCCATAGTGAACCCGTTTCCAGCCAGGATCGGGGTCCATAGTTCGAGTTGGGATGTCTTAACCATAGATTTACTATCAACTTACTCTCCACTAGGTGCCTGTCACCGTATGAGATATTATTGGGGTTTTGGGCCATATGAATAGACAGTCCTTTGGGGGTAGATGAGCACAACTGATTTAATACTATGTGCATAGATAAATGCATAATAGATCAGATATTTGTGATAGAAATAAATGTTTAGGATTTCCTTTCAGTTTCCTAGGAAATGGAGGGCGTACTTTCAAAATACTCCTGCTACTTCTAGAGTAACCCAGGGCCCGTGTGACTACTCAATGCACACAGATCCTGTCTCTAGGGATGAGGAGATCAGGGCGTGGGCAGAGGTAAACCAAGCGGTCATGCTTGGGTGGCTAGGGAGTTAGAGCTGAACTCGGAGCAGTCGGCAAAGGAGAGAAAGATGAGAGGAAGGCCCTCCAGGTGGCCTGCAGTGTGCTGGGGAAGAGGCTGGATTTGTGGGAAGTCATGCGGGTTATCAGGCAGCTATGATACTTCAGATGGGAGATCGTATTTGATTCAAGAGTATGGGGGGTGGGCAGGTGCAGTGATCTGCTTTTAGAGGCAAGGGCTGTACCTAAAACAAAGGCAGCCAGACTGGTTAGTAGAGAAGCTTGGCTGGATGGGGATACAAGCTGTGGTCAGGTCATGCATGGACACCTTGGGCTTTACTCACTCATTTATTCATTCAGCAAACAGTAGTAAACAAAATAAAATGATGCCTGGTCTCTGTCTTCTATATTCTAGATTAGAGTGTCTCAGCACAGGGTCAGGACACTTTCCTGTGTCTTAATTAATTGGGAGGCGTGTTATGTCATAAGTAATTTGCTACTAATAATTAAAGTACTCAAGTTTTGTAAGTTATTTCCTAAAAATATTCTGAGCAGTTATCTTTATGCTAATGTCTTTCTCGCATCCTGATGTGGGGCAAAGGGTGGAGTGGTAGCATCTACATGGGCTGTGGGTGGCTCAGGGCTGGCCCCTGGGTGTGCATGGTGCAGGAGGGCACCCATCTCCCAGACCCTGGGGGGAAAGCAGATCGAACGTTTCTACTTTAAACTGGTAGCTTTCACTCATATGAAGAAACACATTTTACAGCATGACCTATATATGGTGTACATAAGCTATAAAAGAAACAAAAGCTTTATGAAAGCTTCATTATTTATACTTCCTACTTGCAGGGAGTTAGAGCTGAACTTGGAGCAGTTGGTAAAGGAGAGGAAGATGAGAGGAAGGCCCTCCAGTGGCCTGTGGTGTGCTGGGGAAGAACATCCTATTCTATTTTAAACTGTTGATTTTCACTTAAAATAAAAATACTCTTTTAAAAAAAAATAAATGTTTATTATTCAGATTAATAGTTGTTCCTCTTTTCTCCCCCATAGCTCCCCTCCACCCGGTTGCCACCCCTTAGCCCGTTCCTCCCCACTGTCCTCATCCATTGGCGTACGATTTTTGTCCAGTCTCTTCCCGCACCTCCCACTCCCACTTGCCCCAAAGAATTGTCAGTCCACTCCCTTTCTATGCCCCTGATTCTATTAAAGTCACCAGTTTATTCTGCTCATCAGATTTTTTTATTCACTTGATTTTTAGATCCACTTGTTGATAGATATGTATTTGTTGTTCATAATTTTTTATCTTTACCTTTTTCTTCTTCTTCCTCTTCTTAAAGAATACCCTTCAGCATTTCATATAATACTGGTTTGGTGGTGATGAACTCCTTTAGCATTTTCTTATCTGTGAAGCTCTTTATCTGACCTTCAATTCTGAATGATAGCTTTGTAGGTAGAAGTAATCTTGGTTGTAGGTTCTTGCTATTCATCACTTTAAATATTTCTTGCCACTCCCTTCTGGCCTGCATAGTTTCTGTGGAGAAATCAGCTGACAATAGTATGGGTGCTCCGTTGTAGGTAACTAACTGTTTTTCTCTTGCTGCTTTTAATATTGTCTCTCTGTCTTTTGCTCTTGGCATTTTAATTATGATTTGTCTTGGTGTGGTCCTTTTTGGATTCCTCTTGTTTTGGGTTCTGTGCACCTCCTGGACTTGTAAGTCTATTTCTTTCACCAGGTGAGGGAAGTTTTCTGTCATTATTCCTTCAAATAGATTTTCAATATCTTGCTCTCTCTCTTCTTCTGGCACCCCCAAAAATTCTGATGTTGGTACACTTAAAGTTGTCCCAGAGGCTCCTTACAGTATCTTCATATTTTTGGGTTATTTTTTATTCTTTTTTCTTTTCCGGTTGGGTGTGTTTTGCTTCTTCATTTTTCAAATCTTTGACTTGATTCCTGTGATCCTCTAGTTTACTGTTGGATCTCTATATATTATTATTTGGATCTCTGTATATTATTATTATTTTTTTCAGTCAGTGTACACTTAATTCCTAGTTGGTCATTTTTCATATCCTTGAGGGTCTGGCTAAATTTATTGGCAGTTTCTAGAAAATTCTTGAAAAACCTTATAACTGTGGTTTTGAACTCTATATCCAGTAGTTTGCTTTTCTCCATTTCTGTCATTTGTGACCTGTTTCTGTGTCTCCACATTTTGGCAGCTTCCCTGTGTTGATGCTTTGTGTGCTAGGTGTCCTATAGGGCCCAGTGGCTGAGCCTCCCCAATTACCTGAGGTGGACACTCTTGATACACCCCTTTGTGGGCTGTGTACAGTCTTGTTGTAGTTAAGCCTTGATTGTTTTTGGTATTACTGGGAAGAATTGACCTCCAGGCCAATTGGCTATGAGAATCATCTGTGTCTACGATGGGAGAACTTCTGTGCTGGAGACACCCTTATGGGGCAAGACTTGCTTCAGAGGGGCTTTGGTGCTCATTGAGTCTGCCCCCTGAGAGTATCCCTTAGTTCTAAAGAGTTGTAATCTGGAATGGTCCCACTCTGACCACTGGGAAATCCAAGGAGGTGCAAATTTAGCCTCTTTCTGAGGCCACCCAGCAGGAGCTACTGAGATACCTGCAGATTCCTCTTCTTTGTTTGGGGTTTGGAGGTGCCCAGATGAGGCCCAGCTGTGAAGCAATGCAAGCCGCTATGGGGCCTTGGGCCTTCTTTTGGTCGCTCTGGGGCTCTGACCCAGCTGCAGTTTGCTAGGTAATTTTAGATTGTAAAAGCCTCTGTGCACAGCTTGAGTGGGTGGGGGTCTCAGGGAATCTACAGGGCATAGCAAACAGCTATGGCTGATCCTTGGCCCTGCCCTAAGAGGCCCCTGGGTCTCAGTGTCCCTCTGTAATCTCTGCAAGCACCTCTGAGAGAAAGCCGCCCTCAAGTTCCACCTAAACCCAGGCAGTCCAGTTTCTCCCCGTATGAGTTTGGGTCCCAGAGTCTCACTCAGAACTGGAGTTCAGAGCAGTTGGGAGCTTTTATCTCCCTCCTGATTGAAAAAGACAACTGCATCCTCAGTTGCCAGCCCTTTCCATGCTCACGCCTTTGTACCTCTGCACTTTACTTCCAAACCTCTTCTGAGTCTCAGAGTGCTTTTCTCTTTCCTTCTAATTGTAGAATTACCACTCAGCCAGCCTTCCTGTGGTTCTGGATGATGTCCGTTTTGTCTTTTAGTTGTAGCTTTGAAGTGGTTGTATGAGGCAGCAATTTTAGGTGTTTACCTATGCCACCATATTGGTTTCTCTAAAATACTCTTGACTCACTAAATTGATTCCATGGCCTATGGTTTGGGAAACATTGTTCAATCAAGGGGCTAAATATGAAGGGGAGGCAGGAGGTTTGTCCCGCCTCTCTGAGCTTTCCTTATTAAAAATCAGTATCAGGGAAAAGCATGCATAGTCTAGCTTTTCTCTCCTCTGGGTGGGGGGAGCGTTCAATCCAATTGACTTGGTTTCTCTCCTCAGAGCTCCATGAACCTGCCCCCTGACAAGGCCCGGCTCCTGCGGCAGTACGACAATGAGAAGAAGTGGGATCTGATCTGTGACCAGGTATGGGGTTTGGGGCAGGGCTTGGAGGTAGGGGTTATGTTTTAGGCAGAACAAGGTGGCAGGACCAAAAGCATGACTACAGCCCTGGAGTCCCTTGAGGATGCCTGGCCTGGCCTGGTCTCGGCCTCAGCCCTTGCTCACTTCCTTTTCCAAGAGGATAGAGGCTCCCACAAAGAGCTATCTTGATTTCTTCCCAATGCACATAGCCGGAAGGAGGCTAGTGTAGGATTGGGGTGTGGGGTGGGCAGTGGAGGAGTTTGGTAGTATCCCAGCAGAACCTGTTTCTGCCTTCGCCCAGGGCGAGGACTATCCCTTCAGGGAATAATCCAAAGGACCATTTTTCTCTCGCTCTGCCCTTACAGGAACGATTCCAGGTGAAGAACCCCCCACATACTTATATCCAGAAACTCCAGAGCTTCTTGGACCCCAGTGTAACGAGGAAGGTGAAGTACAAGGCAGGGAGGGCCCATCTTGCTGCCCTCTATAGACCTGGGGGCTTGGGGACAAACCCTTTGACTTGGGTCCTGTGCTTCTGAGCAATGGGAGTGGGTTTCGGGTTCTGAGGCCATGAGTCTGGAATGGCTGGCAAATGATAGAGAGAAGGCCTACAACTGCCCTCTTGTATCCCCTCCCTTTTTTTCTCCTCCTTTTATTTGTACTATGGAGTTGGATTGATCAATGACTGAAAATTGCATGTTTACAGAAGTTTAGGAGGAGAGTGCAGGAGTCCACCAAAGTACTGAGGGAGCTGGAGATCTCGCTTCGTACTAACCACATTGGGTGAGTCGGATTTGGCCACCAGAGCCTCTTCACCTGGTCACTCAGGATCTGGTCCTTCTGAGGAGAGTTTGCCTGTTTATCCCCCTGCCAGGGGCAGAGTTGCCCCTTGAATGGCTTTGGTTCCCCCAGAGTTTCAGACGGTTCCTTCCTGGCTTTTCTTCCCCTCATCTCTGCCAGCTCCTGTCTGGATGCTGCTGGCAGGCTTGGGGCCCTTCCTGGGGTCCTCAGCCTGTAGCTTTGAGTGGAAAACATTCCCGTAGCAGCTGAGACTGGAGTCTGCCTGTGGCCTGGGACTGGGCCAAGTAAGGTCCAGAGGAGGCTGGGGCTGGGGAACACTTTGCCTTGGGTAGCTGAGACCTAGTTCCTGGACTATTCTGTACCCAGAAGATTATTTGCTTGATTTTAAGACAATCTTAAAATGAGCAGAACTTTCTTGAAGTATCAGGAAAGAAGATATAAGGCAGTGGGAGACAGGACCCTAATCCTGTCAACCCACTAACAGGTCCCTAGGAGCTATGTGAGTCTTTTTCTTCAGTCTCTGATGGGGAACCAGGACTTGCTGAACAGGCAGAGGGCTAATGTGTGAAGTAGTACAGAGAAAGATGGCTATGTGTCAGTTTTATAAAACCCTAACTAGCCAGAGTGTGTATAGTGAAAGTGAGTGAGAGAGAGGGAGGTGGAGAGAGAGAGAGAGAGAGAGAGAGAGAGAGAGAGAGAGAGAGAGAGAGAGAGAGAACACCAGATAGACAACAGTAGGCAGGGCTGCAATCCTGACCAAGGGCCTGCATGAGTGTTGAGAACTTACATGAGTGAGAAATCTAGCTGGGGGTAGGGGTGGAGGTCACTGGACAGGTGCCAGCCTCAGGGTCCTGGGTTTCCTGAGAGAAAAGCCAAATGACATCATCTGCTTTCCCTCCTGCCCGAGGCAGCTGCCTACTTGTCTGCCCCAGGCTGAGCCGGACCAGGGCTCTGGTAGAGGCTATACCTGCACGTAGCCAGCTGCTGCAACAGTCACAGAGGAAATGGCCCCGGAGAGAACAGGGAGGGGACAGTTCCTGGCCTCGGTAGCTAGGCTCAAGGGCCAAAGTTGGCTTCCATACTTCATCTGTGGACCAGACATTGAAAGCTGAACCACATGAAACATGTGATGAAACCTCCACCTTTATTTGGTGACTCCTCAGAGGAGGAAAGCCTGGCAGAGCCTCCTCAGCTGTCTTGCATATGAGGGCAAGAGTAAAGCAGATGGCAGCCCGGAACACTACCTTCCACTCTGCACTTCAAGGGCCTTTCCTCCCTTCTCCTTTCCCTCCTTCTCAGGCCCTTCGGTCTTTTGTATCTAGTCTTGCTGCATGATGATGGGGGTCTGCTTTTCTCCAGAGGGTCACAGAGCCCCTTCTGCCCGCCCCTCCTACCTGGCGCCTGCCCCTCTGGCCACTGGCCAGGAAGAGGGGCCAGAGCAGCATGGTTCCCAGGCCGGGGCCTCTTGGCAGCTGGCACACAGCTTAGAGGTCTGGACCTGGTCTTTGGTTCCCAGGGAACAGCTTAGTGTCTGGCATTTTAGGACTCCTGTCATCTGAACCGGCTTCTCCTGGTAGAGTCATACGGAGGGCCAGGATCCTTCCGAGATTTCTGGGAGGCAGACTGTGCGGCTGTCCTGCTACGGGTGGGAGCTGCTGGGTGGTGGGAGCCCGGGGAACGGTAGGGAGAGGAGGATCCTGCTTTGTCCCGTGGACGCTGGGTGGGAACCCAGACCTTGGAGCAGGGAGCTGGGAAGTGGGATTCCAGAGCCTCTGCAGCTCCTCCTCTCCCTACTTTGTATTGGTTCTCAGCCTTGCCTACGTGCCCTTTAACCTCTCCTCAAAGTGTCAAGATCCCGAAAATAGCAGTGTAGACTCAGACAGGAAATGAGAAGGGGGTGGGGAGCTGGAGAGCAGACAGACAGGAAACGGGAGGCCTGTTGGCCCCCAGAGAGGAAGCTAACTTCAGGCAGCTCCGGTGTCAGTCAGCCCCAGCCGGAGCCTGCTGCCAGATCTCAGCTGGGCTTGGTGCTCCGGCCCAGCCTCTCTGTAGCTCGGAGTGGGGCTGGCAAGCATGGCGCTGGTTTCCAGCTGTGGGGGAGAAGTGTCCCTGCAGGCTGTTGGGCTGGCCTTTAAAGACCCCAGGACATTCCAAGGGAACAGAGCACCGAGGACAGTCACGGTTTCATCCTGAGCTTTATGTCCTCTGCTCTCAGTGAACCCGTAACAGTCTACCTAGGGCACGCTGTACCCTTCCCTTTCAGGGCTATCTCAGCCCCAAAGGCCTGGGGGGAGGGCGGGTGTGTGTGGAACTGCCTGGTCTGCTGTTGTCTTTAGGGAGCCTTGTCTACCCTCCTGCCTCCCTGGCTGATGGGGCCCAGCTCCTCAGTCTGGCTCTGAGTGGTCACAGCCATTCTGTAGTTACTTGAGTTCCTGACTGTTTCCCCATCCTTTTCCCGTTCTGCCAAACACACAACTCCTACCTATCCCTCTTTGCTCACTACTTCCTAAAATGCCTTTCCTTGAACTTGGTGCCCAAGAGCCCCGAGGCTCTATGTGCCTCTGTTCCATAGCTCCCTTTGACGCTTCTTGCTGGTCTTTTGACTGAAACTAGTCAAGGTGGGGATCTGCTGGTCTCTGTCAGGCATGGCTCTGTGCAAGGGCTGCAGTAAACGCTCTTGATAATCCCCCGATTCTTCCAACAAACATCATGCAAAGACAGCATGCTCAGCCTTGTGCTAAACACCAGAGTCACAGAAAGTGAATGAGCCGGGCCTAGGCCTTTGAAGGACTGCCTGAAACCTTATTTGGCTGCTGTGGTGTCAGAAAGCTTTTACCTTGCCGGGACCGGTTTGGCTCAATGGATAGAGCGTCGGCTTGGGGACTGAAGGGTCCCGGGTTCGATTCCGGTTAAGGGCATGTACCTTGATTGCGGGCAGATCCCCAGTAGGGGGTATGCAAGAGGCAGCTGATCGATGACTCTCTCTCATCGATGTTTCTAGCTCTCTATCTCTCTCCCTTCCTCTCTGTACAAAATCAATAAAATATATTAAAAAAAAAAGAAAGAAAGAAAGAAAGAAAGAAAGAAAGAAAGAAAGAAAGAAAGAAAGAAAGCTTTTACCTTACTCATCCCTGGCTTCCTGGCCCAAGAGAGGTTCTGGCAGGTGACGTGGCCATGGGTGGGTCTGCCATGGGTTTTCATCTTCAAAATTTTCCCAGCCTAGTGCTAAGTTTTGGGGGATCCTAGAGGGTGTTGTTGGATCAGAGGTCCCTCTCTCTCCTCCCCCTTACCCCATTCTGTTTTCTTTATCTGTAGGTGGGTACGGGAGTTTTTGAATGATGAAAACAAAGGCCTGGATGTGCTGGTGGATTACCTGTCCTTTGCCCAGTGTTCTGTCATGTGAGTACCACCCTGGGACTGGGGCTGGGACCAGTGAGGGAGGACAGAGAACACAGTCCCATTCTGATTGAAAGAGGAAGGTGAGATTGCAATAGTGAAGATGGGAATAAGGATCCCAGACCAGAAGGGAGAGAGAGTGGGTGAGGGGACGGGCAGCCAAGTGAAGAATGGCAGGTGGCTGAAGGAGAAGGTGCATTTGGGGGGCAGGAGAAGAGAGACGTGGGAAGGGAGCTCAGAATTGGAACCTGGAGGATCCAGACTCCAGGCTAGGAGCAGGCCGAGGGGATGTCCTGGCTTCCGGGAGAGATTCCCTGTTGTTCATGTGATTTTGGAAAGCAAGTCTTCAAGAAGCTCCCTTGGGTCTCCAGTTGTGACAGGGTTACTCTAAGTCACTCCAGGAGCAGTGAGCATGACTTTTGACCCAGACTGACAGTGAGACATTCAGGGGCCTTTTGCAAGCAGGTTGGGAGCTTGGAGGCAGCCAGAAGCGAATTATCACAGATGAGAAGGCAGTGGAAGGAGTGAGGGGCTCTCAGGGAAGACAGAGAAGGGATGGATCTCTGTTGTTTCCCATTGTCTGATCTCAGGCAAGTGTGTGTCCTCTTATATCAGAGGGGATCCACCTTCTGGGGTTCTAGGCCTAGATGATAATGTGTGTAAAGCACTTTGCAGTATTTGAAGCATAAGTCTATAGTGTGCCGCCACTTTATTGTTAATTGAATATATGGAAAGAGGGATTATGGTGATCATTTAACAGAGGACAAATACATGCAAATTTATACTCTCTACTTACGTCAGCTCTCGGGTGACCAATTGGCCTGGTTTGCCTATGACTTTCCCCAGTTTTAATCCTGAAAGTCCCACATCCTGGGGAATTCCTCAGGCCCAGGACTCAGCCCTAGCCTCCACTTTCATGTTTCTGGCTACTGTCCTGGCCTCTGGCTGTTCTTTGTCCAGCAGGTCTTCTCTCGTCTCCTTAGGGTTTCAAACGAATGCCTTTCCTAGGTTTGGCCTCTGTTGTCTTTTCGAGGTCATCTCTGTTAGAGCCCAGAGCGGCCCACTCCCCATTCCCATCCTTGCAGAAGTGCCTCGTGAGCCTCCTCTCCCTTTAAAAACCACTCTTTTTATAGAAAGAAATGAAAAACATTTGCTGAAGTGATTTTTTAAAAATTCAAAACTTTAAAAGTAAAAAGATGAAGGTCATAATTCCAAATAAGCCTGTCTTGTTTGAAAAGCAAACAAATCCCAGCTAAACCAAAATACACTGGGACCTCAGAACTGTATGGTGCACAGCACTGCCTCTGACTCTGTATTTGAAAGAAAGACTTGGGGTGGGCGTGGGTGTGGGATGAAGGAGAGAATGTGTGTGGGGGGGAAGGGTTGAGAGGAAAGGGTAAAGCCAAATAGAGTTTGCGTGAAGGCATTTTTTGTAAACAGTACATACCAGTGTGGGAAATACTACTAGTTAGTAATGGAGAGAAGCCACGGGCATCTGTTCCTTGTCAGTGAGACTCCTCTATTTGAGCCCCATTAAACATCTCCTATCGGCAAGGACTCTGAGGCCACTCCTGCTTTCTTTGGAACATTCAAGTATCTGCACATGTCACTTCCTACTTCACAAACCCCCGGCCTCTGTGCCTTTGACCCCCAGGCTATGCATGTCTGAGCAGAAGGCTCCGTGGGGAAGAGCCTGTAGGAGATGCTGGCTGAGTCCTTAGTGACCTGCAGGGGGACAGGACAGGAAAGAGGTGCGAGCTAGCTTCTCAGAGGGCATTGACCCAGATGTGGGGATATGCAAGGGAGAAGGCTCAATGGCTGGGTGACCTCAAATTGTCCTTCTTGCCCTGGCCACACACCCCAGCTGCTGAAACATCTGGTCCCGGAAGCATGAAGTAACAAACAGAGAAACCATCCCAATCCTGTAAGGGATGAACTACGGGTGCCAGGCCACTCCCTAGACTTGTGTGATTCCTTTCCCCAGGGAAGCTGAGGCCCAACGAGCCTCTATCCCAGAAAAGTCTAAAAGCCTCACGTGGAACCACAGAAAGCCAGTCATCGAATCCAGAGACACAAGGCTGTCCTTCTGACACAAGGCTGTCCCTCTCGGAGTTCCCTAGGACCCCTGTTTCTTCCATTCTGACCCACCCTCAGTCTCAACCCAGAAACAGTGGGGCTCCCTCAGGGCACTCGGGCTCCTTTGGCCGCTGCCATTTGCCCACGAACGAGACCTGCAGGTGGCGTGTTCCTGTAGTTGGCAGGTTCTCCGTGGGGAGCCCCCGCTTCTCTGAGATGTCCCCCTGAGGTGGAGAGTGCCGCAGTTACCCCTCCCACCTCCCTTTGGCCCATGGGAGGGTCACTCCTTGAGTCGCCTGGCCAGTGGGCGCAGCGCTGGCCTCCGTCAGCATTCCTGTCCCCCCAGACCCCTCCTGGTTGCTTCCTGTGCCCGCTCTGCCCTTTGTCCTATGTTGTTGGCTCTCCCAACCCGGATTGGGTCTCTGTTGCCCAATTCCACTTTCTCCTCTGATGCTCTTGCTTATTGTTGCCCTAGAAGTCTACAGGGCAGGGGTGGGCTTGCCAGGGGTCCTGGCACTGAATTCCTTTTGTATGTGCGCATGTGTCCTTTCCTGCTCCAGGTTTGACTTTGAGGGTCTGGAGAGTGGTGACGACGGTGCATTTGACAAGCTCCGGTCCTGGAGCAGGTCCATTGAGGACCTGCAGCCTCCCAGCGCCCTGTCAGCCCCCTTCACCAACAGCCTCGCTCGCTCTGCGCGCCAGTCTGTGCTCCGGTATGTGTGCTCTTGCTCTGCCCGCCTGCCTCCCCCAGCCCCAGGCCAGGTCCCGGTAACAGCGGTGAGTGCTCATGCGCCTCCTTCCACTCTTGCTTCCAGGCTCAGCTCTCTTGCCTCTGCCTGCCAGTCTGTCTCTGGTCTGTCCTCTTTGTCTCCTTGACTCTGCCCAGCGATCTGTCCTGGGTAAGTATATTGCCCTCAGCTATGCCCACCCCATCTGGGGTTCCTCCTCGCCCCTTCTCTGGGGGCTCCTCCATTCCTCATTCTTGCTCTGCCGTTCCTCCCAGTGTCTCGGGCAGGGCTGTGCTCACCCAACTCCCTCACCTTCACCGGGGGCTCCAGCTCCCGCCCTCCTATCTGTTTCCCTCTGGCTCTGCTCTCTGCTCCATCAGCTGCTCAGAGACCAGCTTCCACCCACCCTGCCTCCTGCTCACCCTCCCTTCACGTCTTCCTTTAGGCCTGTTCTCTCCACGGCTCCCAGGTATTCATCTGTCTGCAGCATCGTGAGAGCTGTCCTGCCTGGAGGCAGGTGGCGGGACCTGTGACTAGGAGCCCCGCCCACCTAGGGAGGCTTTCCTGCGGCCTTTCCGCGGTCTCTCTCTCATGCCACACTCTCTTCCCCTGTCTCCTCCGGGTTTTGCACTCTGACACTGATCATCACTCCAGTCCTGCATGAGCAGATACCATTTGTGCTTCCTCTTTCTTCATGAGACATCATTGGGGGGAGGGGAGGATGCAAAGTCAGACGTAGCCCCAGGTACTCCGAAAGCCTCTGGGGTCTGTGCTGCCTTTTCTGGGTCACAGAAGTGGGATGGGAGCCAAGTGCTCCTGCCCCAGGGAATGGTGGCAGATACAGCAACTGGGGAGGAGGAGGAAAGGCTCAAACGGACATCTCTCTGAACCCCTCGAGGACTAGGAAGGCATACACACCTACTGTTGTATTTTGAAGGACCTCTGGGCTTAGGAGGTTTGGGCACTAATTATACAGCAGGTGCTGGATAGTTCCCGATGAAGGCCTGCGCCAGGGGGGTGACACGGCTGAGCGCCTGCCCCTGCACCCTCTCTCTGGGCTGGCGGTGCAAGGTCCTCTTTCCCCTCTTTTGCTGCTGCTGAGGGACAGCCTGCTGTCTGGAGGCTGGTGAGCACTCCTAGGCCTTTCGCCAACAGCCGCCTCTCCCCCAGGTACAGCACTCTTCCCGGGCGCAGGGCCCTGAAGAACTCCCGCCTGGTGAGCCAGAAGGATGATGTCCACGTCTGCATCCTTTGTCTCCGAGCCATCATGAACTATCAGGTGAGGGGGCAGCACCAGCCACAGGGCTCGGCCTCTTCTGCTCACCTCCCAAACCAGGAGAGCTAGGAGGGCGCCAGCTTTAAAAGAAGTTTGCTGGTGGGCCTACAGTCAAGTCAAGGATCTGCCTTCCCCACCATCAAGGACTCTTCTCCTTCTGCTTTTTCCCTTCGCTACAGTACGGATTCAACCTGGTCATGTCCCACCCCCATGCTGTCAACGAGATTGCGCTCAGCCTCAACAACAAGAATCCAAGGTGAGCTCTTCCCTTTCCTCCTCGCTCTGCACAGGACAGGAGTTCTGGGCTCCACCTGTCGCTGGCCGTGGAGTCCTGTGGCCTCTGCTGGAGGGCAGTGTCCCTGGCTTCCGTGTGGTTTGCACAGCTTAGTGCGGGAGCAGCCTGCCTTCTGCCTTCTTACTCGTACCCGCCTCTCCCCTCACCAGTGAGGCTGGCTCCGCTCTCGGAAAGGACCCCCAGTTGTGCGGTTGAGCTGTGAGGTGGCCATGGTGGGGAGCTAAGGTGTTAATCTTCCTTCTTTGCCCTTCAGGACCAAAGCCCTTGTCTTGGAGCTCCTGGCAGCCGTGTGTCTGGTGCGGGGAGGACACGAAATCATTCTTGCTGCTTTCGACAACTTCAAAGAGGTCAGTCTTCTGCCCTCGCCGGTTTGGCTCAGTGGATAGAGTGTTGGCCCATGGGCTGAGGGCTCCCGGGTTTGATTCCAGTCAAGGGCATGTACCTGGGTTGCAGACTTGATCCGTGGCCCTGGTCAGGGCATGTGCAGGAGGCAACTGATGGATATGTCTCGCACATCAATGTTTCTCTCTGTCTCTTCCCCCTTCCTTCCACTCTCTCTAAAAATCAATGGAAAAATATCCTCAGGTGAGGACAAACAAAACAAACAAACAAAAAAACACCAAAGAGGTCAGTCAGTCTTTGTGTGTGTGTGTGTGTGTGTGTGTGTGTGTGTGTATTTGACAGGAGGAGATGGGAGTAAGGTAGGTCAGCTGCCTTTCCTGCAATCTTACACATCCCAATGATTCCATCATTTTAGCATCCCAGTGCTTACCTAGGTAGCCTGTCAACCTCTTCCCCTCACCCCTCTAAATCCAGAATTTCAGTTTTATCAGATCGTGTCAGGGAAGTTATGAACCGGCCAGCTAAGGATGCCCTCAGAGAGCTGAGGTCTCTAGTCCAGTGGGCCTGGCCTGGCCATGCATCAGAATGCCCGGAGAGCTTGTTACGCAAACAGACTGTGAGAGGCCTGGGGATCTGTGCTTTAGCAGGCTCCCCAGGTGTTCTGAGGCAGCGGACCTACTGACTGAGCCCACGGCAGCTCTCTGTGCAATGAGAGGAGAAGGCAGGCCAGGACCCTCCTGGGTTGGTGGCTGATATTGGTGAGGGAGAGGGTAGGAGGCTTCTTCTTAGAATTTCCCCAGCTCCTGGCCTGGCTCTGAAACCCCTATCTGCTTGAACATAGGGTTCCTCGCCGTCCAGCTGCAGCTGCTGGCCCACCCCTCCCCTCTCTGTACTGCTTCCCTAGCATCCATTGTTCAGCCAGGAAATGGCCCTTCCTCCTTGAAGCCAGAGCTCAGCGGAGCCTCAGGACCCTCTCAGCACAGGGGCTTTCCTGCCTCCTGGCCTCTCTTCTGAATCCCCACTAGGACCTCAGCCCCTGCCTCAGCCAGGGCCTCCAGCCTTCCTCCGTGCTCCCTTCTTCCCTCAGTAACTTGGCCACAGCAAACCCCTGTTTCTCGTAGGCCTCCCAGAGGCTCCTAAAGCTCACACTAAGTCACAGGCTTTCTTGAACTCCAGGAGGGAACCAGGACAGACGCCAGCTCCCAGGCTTTCTTCTGTCATGTCCCGAATGGCTCATTGCAGAGAGAGAATTGTGCTTACACTCGGTCTGAATCAGCCCCCTGGCCATGGTGTAGCTGGGAGCCAGGGCTCAGGGGTGTGGGCTTTGCCTGGGGCGGGTCCTTGCACTGAGAAGTTGGATTGTTCAGGTATGCAAGGAGCTGCACCGCTTTGAGAAGCTCATGGAGTACTTCCGGAACGAGGACAGCAACATCGACTTCATGGTGAGGAACTGGGCCCGGGCCCAGCAGGGCGGCGTGCTCCTGAGACCAGGCGGACAGTGGACTTTGGTCTGTGCAAAACCTAGGATTCTCTGCCCAGTAAATGCTCCTTGGCCACTGGCCCGCCCCAGAGAGCTTTTAGAAGCTAAGACTGTCATTTGGGCAGCCTGGTCTGCCTTCTTTCCCCGTTCCTGGCCTTGTCTTATCCTCCCTGGTGGGGCCCTCTCTGAGCTGCTTTCCCTTTCCCTGCCTCTTCTCCCAGCTTCTCTGCTCTTGTGTAGGATTTTCAGCTAAGCAGGGACACCTCAAGGAGCACCTGCTGATGTGCAGAGGAAATCAGAGCGGTGCTTTAGTGACATCTCTTTCTCATGTGATTTACTTACCTTAATATTCTGAATGCTAGGTTTGACTTTTTTAAGTTAAAATGCTCTTTTGTTCCCAGAAAGATGTAACTTTTTTATTCACTGCTTTTGATTATCCACCTGCCGATGCTGGTTCTAACAGCCACCCACCCTCCCTTTCTCTTGGTCTCTCCCCATTGGTCTCTTCCCTGTCTCTGCCCATTGGGGCCGCTTCTTCCCAGGTGGCCTGCATGCAGTTTATCAACATTGTGGTGCACTCGGTGGAGGATATGAACTTCCGGGTCCACCTGCAGTATGAGTTTACTAAGCTGGGGCTGGAGGAGTTCCTGCAGGTGAGCCTGGCTGCATCCTCAGAGGGGGAGGAGCTTTGGGGCAAAGGACCAGCTGAGCCATATCACAAAGGGTTTTGGGGTGTATTTTTACAAGAACCTAGTCATGGATGCTCCTGCTATACCCTGCCTGTCTGCTGTGGCATGGGACTCAGACCTGCCCTCAGAGGGCGTCCCAATCAGACAGCTCCCTGGGGCGAGAATCTGGCATATCCACAGCAGGAATTCCCCGGGTCTTGAGCTTTAGGAAGCAGCCGAGGAGGGTGGTGAGGACTAAGTCTTTCTCCGGAGGCTCCTCCAACCATGACGCCCTCTGCTCTCCCTAGAAGTCGAGGCACACGGAGAGCGAGAAGCTGCAGGTGCAGATCCAGGCATACCTGGAGAACGTGTTTGACGTGGGGGGGTTGTTGGAGGATGCCGAGACCAAGAACGTGGCCCTGGAGAAGGTGGAGGAGCTGGAGGAGCATGTGTCGCACGTAGGTGGTGGGTCCTCCTCTCTGCCAGAACCACTGTTGGGGGGAAATCCTGAGCTGACCCACCTGCCTCTAGATTGGGCACCAGTGGGCTCTTTAAAGCATGCCTCAGACCACCCAGAGATTGAAACACCCACTGACCTCCGCACGGTGCTCCCTATCTCAAGAGGCTCTGATATGGCCATTTGCCTTTACTGCTTCACGTGGTCTCAGATGCTGGGCCCACGGGAGCAGCAACGCAGGGGACCCTGCCCTGGGGCCCAGGTCCTGACTGGGGTTCAAGCCATGCGGAGTGCCCAGGCTTTAGCCCCAAACCTGCCCTTCCCGTCCTGCAGCTCACAGAGAAGCTTCTGGACCTAGAGAACGAGAACATGATGCGGGTGGCGGAGCTGGAGAAGCAGCTGCTGCAGCGGGAGAAGGAACTTGAGAGCATCAAGGTGCCAGCAGCCGGGGGGAGGCCGGCTGCCGCTGGGCCAGGGCCTGAGGGCGGTTTCTCTCTCCTGAGTCATGTCCAGCCTTTGAGAATCCAGCTCTTGATTCATGACCTTGAGGCACGCAGATGCAAGTGGGCTGATGATTTCACCCATATTTTGGTTGGAGAGACAATCTGAAGCCAGAGTGGGCCAGGCATGCACACAAGAAGGTGGGAGTGTATGGGGCACCCATGGGCACCTTTGGGGTCCAGCCCTCCTTCTACAAGCCGTCCTTCTGCACCTCCCGGCTCCCCAGCCCTGCGTCCTGAGCAGGCTCAGAGCAGCCGAGTCCTTGGGGCTGTTATTAGGAGATGCACCGCAGGGGCTCCTCATAGTTCAGCGTCTTCTCTGTCCCCTGAGCTAACTTTTTGTTAGTTATAAAATCACACCTTAACCGATCTCTTCTTCCGAAGGAATACAGCCAGGCTGGCTCTGTCGAGCTCAGTATGCTGGTGTGTCTGCTGTGCCCCTGCTCGGAGCCTGAAGCTCTGCGTCAGGAGTAGGAGGGTCCCCGGTGGCCAAGGCAGGGTCTTGTCTGTAGGGGCTCCCAATGGTCACTGAAATGGGAGACCTGAGGCCGCAGAGCAGGATGGCAGTGGGTCAGGAAGAGTCGCCCAGGGGCACCTTCCGCCTGGGCCTGGAAGGGACCATGAGACTAGGGTGGGCGCGGAAAGGAAGGACACAGCAGGACTGTGCTGCTCATTCCGCCTTCCCCTGGTCCCCACCCAGGATTCTAGCGGAGCAGCGATCCTAGCTGGGAGACAGGAAGTCTCACTTCTTTCTTTTCTGATGGCGCGTCTGCCCGACAGGAGACGTACGAGAACACGAGCCACCAGGTGCACACCCTGCGGCGAATCATCAAAGAGAAGGAGGAGGCCTTCCAGCGCCGATGCCACTTGGAGCCCAACGCCCGGGACTTGGAGTCGGTGGGCAGCGAGGCCCTGGCCCGGGTGGGCCCTGCAGAGCTGAGCGTGGGCATGCCGCCCTCCGACCTGGACCTCCTGGCGCCAGCCCCGCCCCCTGAGGAGGCCCTCCCTTTGCCTCCTCCACCTGCTCCTCCGTTGCCCCCTCCCCCTCCCCCTCTTCCAGGTAAGGAGGACCCTTGGGAGTTAGGTCCTCATTGTGGGGCCAGACCCAAACCCCAGGCACCAGTGCCTTCCTCAGGGAGAAGCTGGGGACCTGGCTGGAAGGGTGTGGCAGGTGGGAGAGGGCCGAGGGGGTGGTCTGGAATCTGAGGGAGCTCAAATTACTAGGGAAGGGAAGTCTAGGGGTAGACATGGATCTGTTTTAAGGATCATAAAGCTGCTTCTCCCGATTCCTCTGAACACAGTCAAGGAGGCTCTGATCATCAAAGCAAGAGAGTGGGCCAGAGACGACCGAGGTCTGCCCCAGCCACTTGGGCCAGGAGCTCATGCAGCCTCCATCCCTGAGTTTTTTTTGTTTTTGTTTTTTAATATTCATCTGAGAATACGTTTAGAGAGATGGAGAGGGAAAAGGAGAGAGAAAGAAAAACATGGATCTGTTGCCTTCCATATGCACCCCCACCAGGGATCAAACCCACAGCCTAGGTGTGTGCCTGTCTGGGAATTGAACCTATAACCTTTGGTGCAAGAGACGATGCTCCCACCAACTGAGCCACCCGGCCAGGGACCCTGAGAGTCTTTAAGGGCAAGTGGGATGAGAGGGGGACCTCTGAAGAGTCACGGTACCATTCTTCTTCCCCCAGACAAGTGTCCCCCCGCCCCGCCTCTCCCTGGCGCTGCTCCCTCTGTGGTGCTGACAGTGGGCCTGTCAGGTGAGTGTCCCAGGGCTCTGGCCGGAGCTAGTGGGACCACGGGGCTAGTGGGATACACTCCTTGGCCCCTGCCTCACTGATCCTCCTTTCAAATTAGCCATTCGCATCAAGAAGCCTATCAAGACCAAGTTCCGGCTGCCTGTCTTTAACTGGACAGCGCTGAAACCCAACCAGATCAGTGGCACTGTCTTCAGCGAACTTGATGATGAGAAGATCTTGGAGGTAGCAGGGCCTGGGGCCCTGAGGAGGAAGCCGGGGGCTGGGACCAGGTTGCCCTTTTAGCCGGATCTGGCCTTGGGAAAGCCCTCAGACTCAGCCTTCCGTGATCGGAGCTGAGTTGCTGCTAGGGCTCCTCCGTAGCAGAGGCCACAGCGTTTTCCCTCTCATCTGCCTCGGCAGGACCTGGACCTGGACAAGTTTGAAGAACTGTTCAAGACGAAAGCCCAGGGCCCTGCCCTTGACCTCATCTGCTCTAAGAACAAGACAGCACAAAAGGCTGCCAGCAAGGTGACCCTGTTGGAAGCCAATCGTGCCAAGAACCTGGCCATCACCCTACGCAAGGCCGGCCGCTCCGCTGAGGAGATCTGCAGGGCCATCCACATGTGAGGCTCCCACTGACCTGGCCCTGGTCCCCAGCTGGTTGGAACCCAGGTCTCCACCTTGGATTCCAAGGCTTTGGCAGAATAGCCTCACACTCCTCAGTCACCCACTGGCTTGGCCAGACTTAACTGTGTCCATGCCATGTGCCAGGCATGGGATGAGATGCTGGAAATTCAGTCCAGACCTGCACCCAAGGAACTCCCAGTGGGAACAGTTCAGAGTTGCTGGGTAATAACCACCAAGATGGTGGAGGTACAGGCAGCATTGGGAGAACAGGGAGAGCCAGGTGGCTGAACTGGGTAATCAGAGGAGGTGGTGTCTTACCTGCAACCTGAAGGAAGTCCCAGTATATGAAATCCAGTACAGGTAGGTCCTGGTGAGGGAAGCTTGGTGTCCTTGGTACTGAAAATTGGCTGTGGCCTTGGTGTAAGGAGGGGAGTAGGAGAGACAGGATAGAAAGGCGGGCACAAGCCTTGCAGATTGGGCCTCCTAAGCCATGCTCAGGTATTGAGACTTCTCTCTAGGAGCAAAGGGAGAATATTGAAGGGTTTTTAGCAGGGCATCCGTGTTTCCTAGGATGGTCCCCTGCTTCTGGCTGTGTCCTGCTCACAAACCTCACCCTCAGTCCCAGGAGCTGGAGAACAAAGGGATGGATGCGTGATAAGGGCAAATGCGAGACCTGAGGGGTCCCTCCCTCCTACATAGGTACGACCTGCAGACACTGCCGGTGGACTTCGTGGAGTGCCTGATGCGCTTCCTGCCCACAGAGGCCGAAGTGAAGCTGCTGCGGCAGTATGAACGGGAGCGGCAGCCCCTGGAGGAGCTGGCGGCTGAGGACCGCTTCATGCTGCTCTTCAGCAAGGTGGAGCGGCTGACCCAGCGAATGGCGGGCATGGCCTTCCTGGGCAACTTCCAGGACAACCTGCAGATGCTCACCCCGGTAGGGCCTCATCCGTCACACTCATCTGCTGCCCCCTCTCTGCCATCCACCTGCCGGTCACCTCCCTGGCCCTGCCAACCCCCCCCCCCCCCCCAGCCGCCTGCTGACTTTGCCCCGTGCCGCCTGGGGTTACTCAGCTCTTCCTCTTGCCTTCCAGCAACTCAATGCCATCATTGCAGCCTCCGCCTCGGTCAAGTCCTCACAGAAGCTGAAGCAGATGTTGGAGGTGGGAGAGGCTGTATGTGGGGGTGCCGGTGGGGACCTGGGGCTACAGAGTCACGAGAGGAGCCCTCAGGGCTTGGCGTGAGCCCACTTGTCTTTGGACAGATCATACTTGCGCTGGGGAACTACATGAACAGCAGCAAGCGGGGTGCTGTGTATGGCTTCAAGCTCCAGAGCCTGGACCTGGTAAGATGGTGGGGGCAACATGGGGCCAGGAAGCCTGAGGGAAGGCAGCTGTGGAGCCAGGATATTCAATCCGTTTGCATTACTCCTTGTCCCCATCTCCCAGCTGCTGGACACCAAGTCCACTGACAGGAAGATGACGTTGCTGCATTTCATCGCCTTGACAGTGAAGGAGAAATACCCAGACCTGGCCAACTTCTGGCACGAGCTGCACTTTGTGGAAAAGGCTGCAGCAGGTAAGGGGAGCCTGCCCTGGTGTTCAGCTCAGGACAATCCCAGGAAATTACCGGGAGTGGGAACACTTGGGTCCTTTTGTTTCTGGATCTTGTTGTCTTTCTGACACTTCAAAGCTCACTGCTGGGGCCAGGGGCAGGGCCACCCCAGTGGGAGCCTTCCTGCAGGCGCCAGCCCCCAGTGGCCCTGTTCACCTGGATGGCGGGGAGCCGCAGGGGAAGGCACAGTGGCTCTTCACTCCCGGCTCCTCAGGCTGGCCTGACGTGTGGGAAGACCTTAGAAACACCATAAAGCCCCTCAGGGTAGCTATTATTTCTGCCCCACTCCTGAAAACTGGTGCAGGCCTGAGGCAGCTCCATTTGGAAGACGGGAAGTCTCTGTGGCTTGCCTTCCTTTGTTACTTTGCTCTTTGGGGTCATGAGTTCCCCTCTCTGTGTCCACCCAGGGGGAGGGGGAGTGCTTAAGCAGCAGGAGCGTGAGAACCTGAGGGAGCCCTTGCTGAGGGTAGGTGGGCATGTCCAGCCTGAGCTCAGCCTGGGCTCAGCCTGGGCTCTGTGACCACAGTGTCCCTGGAGAACGTGCTGCTGGATGTGAAGGAGCTGGGCCGGGGCATGGAGCTGATCCGGCGCGAGTGTAGTATGCATGACCACAGCGTCCTCCGGAGCTTCCTCAGCACCAACGAAGGCAAACTGGACAAGCTGCAGCGCGATGCCAAGACGGCGGAGGTGAGCAGAGGGTGGCAGCAACCAGGTTTAAGGCACTGCGCCCCTCTTAGTTTTTCCTTCTTGGATCAAATACTTTTTATAAAGTGCTGGCTTACCGAGGGGGGGAGGGTGATTGGGGATGGCAGGCAGCTGCCTCTGGTGACTGCACTCTAGGAAGCTCTGGGAGCCGGTCCCTTTCCAGCCCTCAGGGGCTGGGTGCTGCTTCCTGTGGGCCCTCTGCCCCTGGTGGGAGCGGCTTCCCTTCGCCAGCTGACCCCTCCGGCCTCCCTTCCCCAGGAGGCCTACAATGCAGTTGTGCGCTACTTCGGGGAGAGTCCCAAGACCACACCTCCTTCTGTATTCTTCCCAGTATTTGTCCGATTCATTCGTTCTTACAAGGTGAGCAGGAAAGCTTTTAAAGAAAAAAGGCTGAGAGAAAACTGATCGGGGGAGAGAGGGTTGGGCTTCAAGTCTGGCCTTTTCCGTCTCTTCCTCTGGGTCCTGGGAGGGAGCGATGGAAGCTGGCCACAGGCCTTAGCTGTGAACTGGTAGGCAGGGTGGGGGCCCAGGCCCTTCCTGTCATTGTTTGGGGCAGGAAGTGCCCCTCCAGAGGGTGGCCACCTGGGGTTGCTGGTCCCACTGCCACTCTCCGCCCTCAGTCAGCCCCTCCCCTTAGCCTGGGAGAGCCTCACAACCGCCCCCCACCCCCACTCTGGTTCTTAGGAAGCAGAACAAGAGAACGAGGCCCGCAAGAAGCAGGAGGAGGTAATGCGGGAGAAGCAGCTGGCTCAGGAAGCCAAGAAACTGGATGCCAAGGTGGGTGGGGCCAAGAGCAGAGGCCTGGAGGAAGCTGGGCAAAGGACTGGGACAGGGTGGAGCCCACAGTCCACCCAGAGGGCCTGGAGCCGGCGGCCCTAGGGATGGGGAGAGGGGCTTTGGGAGGGGATTCCCGGGCCAGGAGGGGGCGGGGCTGTCATACCCAATCCAGGACATCCTGGGTCAGGAATCGTCCCTGTGGTAGGTTAATAACACTCCCTTCCCTTCAAATGCTCGGCCCTAGACCCCATCCCAGCGGAACAAGTGGCAACAGCAGGAGCTAATTGCCGAGTTGAGGCGGCGCCAGGCCAAGGAGCACAGGCCTGTGTACGAGGGGAAAGATGGTACCATTGAGGACATCATCACAGGTGGGGCCCTTTCCTCCCAGGGGCCCGAGAGCTGGGCCCAGCTCCCAAAACCCTGGGCTCTCCCACCTCACGTGCGCCACGGGGCCTGACCGCGGTGTCTCTCTCCTGGGCCACAGTGCTGAAGAGTGTCCCTTTCACGGCCCGTACTGCCAAGAGGGGCTCACGCTTCTTCTGTGATGCAGCCCACCATGATGAGTCAAACTGTTAACCCCCAAGGCTGGGGCCCTTGACAGGTACTGGGCACCACAGTTGCCCCTCTGCATGCCCATCTCCCAAGGCTCGTGCTGGGGTCCTCGGGCACCTCCTCTGCATGACCTGGCACCATCCTCGGGCTGCCTCATGGTGATGGGACACATACTTATTTCCCTCCCTGCATGCCCCATGCTCTGAGAAGCATGGCTTATGCCCTGCATGTGCCCTCAGGGAAGTGGTATCTCTCCCACTAATGCTGTCCTGGCTTCTACTAAGACCAGGGGCTAGGGACCAGGCCGATGCTTCTGGTGGCTGAGCCCGTGGCTGTTACTGGGCTTGTAGGTCCTTTGTCCTTGCTCTGCCCTGTGGCCTCTAGTGACCCTCCATCTGGTCCTCTGAAAATACGAAGCCCAGCCATCTCCCTGACCATGCCCTCCAGTGTCTGACTCATGGCTGGCTCTTCTCTGGCCCTGCCTGTGGGCTGCTCCTGAAGGGGCTGTTCCTACAGAGGCCGGGTTAGGCCTGGCTGCCCTGCCTGTTTACCGGCTTCTGATTCCCCCACAGGGCTCCACCAGCCCATTGTCGTTCGCCACCAAGCCAGGAGTGCGGCCCCACCCAGTGGCCCGCCTCGGGCGCCAGGCCCCCACTGAGACCGAGAGGCAGAAGCACTTCAACTCCGGAGTCCTGCAAGCCCACCGCGGACCTGGAGCCCGGAATCGGCCCAGGGCCCAGAGGAAGGCCATGCTGCTCCTGACCGTGTCACCCGGGCTCTCAAAGCCTGCATCTCCCTGCCGCCACTGCGGGCACTAGTCTCCCAGGGCCTCGCCCGGTCCTCGTGCCTCCTGGACTGCACTTGGCCTCCAAGGTCTTCAGCTTCATTTCCTGAAGGGTCACCAAGGGCCAGCTGGAAAAAACCATTTCCGGCTTTAGCCTGCAGAGGGACACCGAGGCCACTGTCAGGGGGGCCAGAGGGACAAGAGGAGTGTCTGGCTTGGGGAGCCCTGGGGCCCTGCCAATCTCAGATCATCTTTAACCGGGAGCAGGGCCTTCCTAAGCCTGGGCCCTGCTCAGCTGTGGCCTAGTGATAAGGGTGAGGAAAGATGCTACACTTACTGGCCCTGGCTCTAGCCCCAAAACAGCTAGAGAAAGGGTATGCCAACAATGTCTTCACCTCCTTCTTCAGCGAGGTGTTTGTTGAGGGGACAGGGTGGTCGTAGCTGGCTATATTCTCAGTCCCCTGCCAGTTTCTTAGCCCCTAGAAGGGAACATAGGGGTCCACTCCTTTTTGTACATGTATCATCTCCCTTCTCTCTTGTACATAAACCCTGGCCCTTCTTTCTCTCAACACAGGCTTGAAGCACAGGCCTGACTCTGACTCCTCTTTCTGAGTGTGGAGGGTTAGGGTGGCCATTTAGTTTGATCTTAGCCCTGCAGAGCTGCCATCTGCTTGGAGGTGAGCACAGAAACCTGGGGAGGGACTCAGGCTGGTGAGCTCCAAGCACACAAAGGGAGGCACTACCGTTAGGCGCTAGCACCCCCTGCTGGCCATGGGTGCCGCTGCCCAACATCTCCCTCCCCAGTAGTATATGAAGACAAAAGAGCCATTGACCATGTTATAAATATTGTTATTTATAAAACAAAACACACATACACAGGGTCCCAGGGCTGAGGAAGGAGTGGTGGAGCCCCAGGGCCCCGTGCAGGCAGGAGCAGGCACTGACGCTAAAGGGGAAGGACCCGCCCTCTGCCACCCAGGCTGTGTCCACCAGCCTGTCACATCCCTGGAGGCCCCTTCTCACATTCTACCTACTGGCCCACCCACCCCACGTGGCATACGTCACCAATCTGTGGGGCTGAGGGCAAGGACTGCACTAGTTGTCCGGGAAGTAGGGACTGTTGGACACCATGAGCAACCTCGGCAGGTGCTGGCAATGGTGTTGGGAGTGGGGTTACTTGAGGAAAAACGGACCCAGACCAGACTAAGGAGGAAGTCTGGGGCAGGCGGTGAGGGTGACCTAGTAGCCACAGACCCAAGGCAGAGCCGCTGGTGGTCAGTTCACTGGTGGTCATCCAGCTGCTGGAGGAGGGTCCGCCGCCGCCTTTCCAGCTCACCCTCACTCAGCTCGCTTTCCGACGTGTCCCAGCCCGTCTGGGGGAGCAAAGGCACAGCTCACCCACAGCCTCCCCTGAAGGCCACAGAGGCCTGCACAGAGCGCTGCCTGGGCTGGGACCAGGCACCTGCCTCTCACCTTCTCCTTCTTGACTCCAAAACCTGGGGAGCGATTAGGGAGCTCTGCCAGCCGGAGCTCCCTGTCCTTGTCCTGTTCTGGTTCTTTCTCATCACTCTCCTTGCCAGCTTTCTCCTCCGGGTCTGTCACACTCTCGGGACTGTTCTGTAAGAGCCCAGAGCCCGCCCCCTCAGTCCCCGTGAAGGACAGCTGGAGGCGGGCGGCAGAGATCTCACACAAGAGCAGGGTCTTGGGCTGAAGTTCCTTCTCTACGCACCGACTTGTGTCTTCTCTTTTTAGCTTTCTTTTTTGGTTTCTTGGCTCTCCGGAGGCCATGATCTGAAGACAGAAACCCCCCACTAAGTTCCTGGGAGAAGGGAGGGATCAGCCTTTGCTCTGCCACAGTCCATCCCTCTGCTCACTCCTCAGACAGGGACCTGCCGAGCTGTTTCCTCCCTTCCAGGGACGGGGAGTGCTTCCTCTCCGACAGGTGCAGCCCTCCCAACCCTCTGCCTCGGGCGCTGTGGCTCCCGGGGCCTTCTCTCAGTCTGGGCTACCTTCTCCAGCTCCAGCTGCTTACCTGATCCCAGGAGAAGACGGGAGGATGGGGAGCCCCGTCCTCCCAGGGTAGCACCCCCACTTTCAAATGAATCAAGTGAGGAAGAGGGCTCGGAGCCAGATTCGGAGGGGTTCTGCCGCCTCCTGGGGGGCCGGAGAGACGGTGGGGGCAGCTCCTCCTCTTCCGACTCGGAGCCCTGGGCAAATCGGCAGGTACATGTCAGGCCAGCATCCCAGAAGCCCTCTAGTCTGGGAATTGGGGGCAAAGAGGAGGATCCAAGGCCAAAGGAACCCCCAAATCTCCTTCCCAGGGAGATGACATGGAGGAAAATAAGAATTTCCCCAAGACAGTCCAGTCTGACCCGGACCTTTCTACCCACCACTTACTGAGGGCGAATGGGAACGTTTGCGATGGTGCTTCCTGCCCTTTCTGCCATGCTTCCGGCCTTTCATGTGGAGGTGCTGGCATTCAGTCTGGCAGAGGCAGAGGCAGGGTTAGGGAGGACCGTTCCCTGAGGCCTCCCCTCCCTAATATCCAAGGAAAGAGCGGGGGGGGGGGGGGGGGTGTCTCTGGAGCTGCCTCGGTGTTCCAGCACCGGAGACAGGTGCGGAGGACCAGCAGCTCTGCCTCACCTCCAGTACCTGCAGGAACTCCCGGAAGAGCCGGATCCGCTCCGACTCCAGGGTTATCTGCTCAAAGGCTGAGTCGCACACAAAGCGCTCACGGACCTTGAACGGGAGAGCACTGCTGATCAGACCAGCCCCGGCACGGCATGGGTGCCGCCAGAGCACAGGGCAGGGCTGGGGCGGAGGAAGGAAGGGAGCCGGAGCTGGCCCAGCTGTATTATGAGTGGGGCGAGCCCCCATGTGGAGAAGCACGGCTGCCCTCAGGACCGAGGGGTGGCGTGGTGCCAGGCTGCAGTCCTGACCTCTTCCCAGGCAGTGCCCAGCTCCAGGGCAGGCGCGGCCTGCCTCAGCATGCTTCGGAAGGCCGCTTCCCTGCGCCGCAGCCTTCGCGCCGCCTCCTTCTCCCGCTCCCTCTCCCGCGCCTCTGCTTTCTCCAGCAGCTGAGGGCAAAAAGCACACGCGCAGTGTCACCCTGCGGGGTGGGTGCCTAGGCCCCTTCAGGCATACCTTAGGAGGTGGGAAGTCGGGGTCTGGGCTCCTAACATCATCCCTGAACTGGGATGTAGTTACGCTGGGGCAGTGAGAGAAGGAATGAAGTGATCCACAGGGATGAGTTTCAGCAGATGCCTTGGCTACAGCCCCGCCCTGCCCAACCCCTCACACTATTGAAGGTCAGCTTGATGTTGCCTGCGTCCAGCGCAGCAGCCCTCTTGTCAAAGCTTATGACGTGGGCGAAGTCCTCAAAGGCTGTGTTCACCTCCACACAGAAGCCCCGGTCCTGTGGGCACAGCAGCGCATGAAGCCAGGGCACCTCCAGGGCAGGCAGAGGTCCAACTATAGGATGCTCAAGAAGCCCCCACCCAGAGTTCCACAGGATGAGGATGCATCCAGAAACCAAGCTGTCCAAGCCCTCACCGCCTAATGACAGCCCATGCCTAGCTTCGTGAGGTGGTCACAGGGCACTGGCGGGTCGGATCACATGGGGAAGGTTGACGGGAAGCAGGGTGTGTGTGTACCATGCCTACTCATTAATGCCTGAGTTCCTCATAATTAGTTCTTTTTAAAAATCCTATAGTCCTGGCAATCCCAGGTGGCCTCCCATTCAAGCACTAACCAGGCTCGACCCTGCTTAGCTTCCAATATCAGATGAGACGGTAGACTCACAATTAGTTCTTTGTTCCTTTGGCTTAAAGCTTGGGCCCTCCAAGGGCTCAGTAAGTTCCTTGCATTCTCAGTCAACCTCTGCTGGTTCCACTCTTTGGCTGTATGTATTGAGTGCTAGCTACCATGCTGAATGCTTCATACATGTCTTATTTAATCCTCTCCTATCTAAATGTATACACCGAATCCTAGTCTCCTAATTTTATGCAGAAGGAGAAACCAGAGCATTTGCCCAAAGTCAAATAGCTAGTAAGCATATGGCTGAGTGCGAGTTCTACCCCAGGTCTTCCGTACTTGTGGGCACTGCACCCACATAGATCACTTGATCCACAGGAGAAACAGAGGCCATCGAGTGTGCAACTTCCAAACAACATTAAAAACACCTCACATCCTCAAAGCACCTTGGGGCAGGCTGTGATTCTCATCTAAGATTCACGACACAGAGGCTTAGGAACGTTCTCTCACTTGGCCCAAGACAACTGGGTCTGAAGCTGGCTCTGCAGCTGGGGCCCAACTTCCCTTCCTCTCCCTCCACACGGCTCTAACGTGCTCCAGCCTTCCTGCTGATGGCAAAGGCATCCTTTTCTTGCTTCTTCCAAGAGGACTTCCTCAACTCACACTCTCCAGTCCTTCTCAAACATATCAATCTCTCTTAGGAAACCGAGCGCTTCAATCTCATCTCTACACTGACTCCGTCCATCACTCGCACACCTCACTTAGCCTGGAACTTCTCTCCACCCTTCCTCAGGCTTAATAATCTGCTTCTTTTCCTTTGTTTTAAAATATTTAAATGTAGCACAAAGGAAAATGAATAAACATTTATTGAGCCTACCCTAAGCAAGACATGACAAATGTTATAAGTCTCACACTGCACATAAAACTATCCCCATTTTGCAGACAAGGACATAGGTTCAGAGCCGTATAACTTGCAGAGGTTTCAACCAATGAACAGCCAGGAGTTACTGAACTCTTAAAGCTTGTGCTGCACCCACTCTACCCCCTTCGTGGACACTGCTCTCCCAAAGGCGGTTCATGTCCTAGGAGGGCCTTCTCTGTCCTTGCTCATTTGGTCCTCAGCACCTCTCCGTTCACTTCAATGCTCCCCTCCAATGTCCCCTCCTGTCTCTCTGACCCCCTTTACTATATCTTTTGCATGCACTTTTGCACCTGAGAACAGCTATTAGTCTTTTTAATCGACAATGTCCCTAGCAATCTCATTCTCCACCTCTCTCATTTTCAGACCCATACCAAATTGGGTATTTCATAGGCACTTCAAATTCAGGTCCTAAGAAAATTAATTTCTCAGAAGCACCTCTCCACTCCTCCCCCCATATCTCCCAGCTGCTCCAAGTTTGGGGCTCTCTGCATTATCCTCTGGGGTGACGCACCAGTCTGTCCATCTGGTGGATGGCCACAGGGCCTCCTGGGCTTGTCAAGCTTCCTTTGGCAGAATCCCAAAAGGGGAAGAGGACGTGCCTAAAGCAGATTCTTTCTCCAGAGGTGTGGAGAGATGGAACTCAATGATAGGCCTCTGCAGGCCTGTCAGTAGCACCAGAGCACTTGTCCTAAAAGTTAAGCATCCAATAAAATTTAGCTCTCCTGGGACTAGATTTCTACTTTATATGATTACTAGAGGCCTGATGCACAAAATTTGTGCAAGAGTAAGCCTTGCTTCTACTGGCTGCTGGCACCAGCTTCCCTCTGGCACCTGGGACTCAGGCTTTCCTCAGGCCGCCAGCAGGCAGATACCCGGGCCCTGGCTTCCCTTGCAGCCCCTGCTTTGTCCAGAAGGACATCTCGTCTGATTAGCATATTATATTTTTTATTATAAAAGACTCTATTTAATATGTAGTGCTTAGTTTATTCCTTCTGGCCCCCAGGTTGTTTTTAAGAATAAATTCCCAAATGGAATTTTTATTTTCTCCAGCCAGTTCTAGTTCTTCCTTCTTAATCCTTACCAATAGTGCCATCATCCCTCTAGCCCCACTCCTTCCTTACCCTCAATTCCACACACACACACACAAACAAATCTGCCAATTTTACTTCTGGGTGATTATCCTACTATTTTAAACTTCCATTTTTTTTAACAGCAGACCCCCCCCCCCCAAATAAAACCTTATGCAGAACCTTGATATATAAAAGAGAAGCTACTGTGCATGTCAACAGGAAAGAGCGTACGTTCTATCTATCCTCCCTCACCCCCATGCTTGTCCCAAGGCACCTCTGAGGAAACCTAGGGAGTCTCAAAGAGCTGGAGTACCACCGCTCTCTCCTCACCTGCCAACCCATGTCCTGCCTAAGCTCAGTCCCCACCTACATCACTATAGTAGCCTCCTGGCTGCTCTCCCTGCTCACCCCACACCTGACCCAGCCTTGAGAATCCAGGCTGCTCACACTTTTCTATCTCGTGGCCCCAACAGCAGAGCAGTGGTCTTGGAGGGGGAGTTAGGAGAGGATGACTCAAGCTCAAATTTCATTTTAATTACTTGCCACTATCATTTTTAGTATCCTGAGGCTTCAGGTACTAGCCTATTCCTAAGGATACAAACACAGTCTGAGAGGTCGTTATCTGATCAGGTCATTCCCCAGCTCCCAGTACTTGAGAAGATAAAAATCCAAATTTTAGCATTCAAGGAATTTACAGAGGGCTCTACTTTCAAACTGGGACATGTGGTTCCAAAGAAACAGAGGGAGTGATAGGACAATATGGTATGTCTTAACTTAAGGTCAGTAATTTTAAAATATTAAGTTTATATTAATTAGAGAAGCAACACGGTATCAAAATGTAATACCTGCATAAATTTATAAGCAAAACACATGGAATGCTGAGTGTGCAGTGGGGCATTTTTAGCTTTATTCTCAGATCTTTCTCACCTCATGTACCAAGTAATTAGCCCTTAGTAATTAGCTTTATCTTGGTGGAAAACACCCATTTGACAGATGAGAAAGCTGAGGCTCAGAAAGATTAAGTAATCCGCCCTTAGTCACACAACTAGTAAGTGGTTAAACTGGATTTTTACCCCAAGTAGTCTGCCTTTATGCTCCTAACAACTATGCCTGTTGCCTCCTCACATGCATTAGAATGTTCTTCACTTCCACTAAGTATGCTTTCTCTGTTTTCTTCATCAGAAACACAAAGCTCTCATAGTCCATCATCACTTTTCCACCTTTGATAGACATGGATATCCAGAATTATTTCTCCAGTGTAAGAAGAGTAAAGTGTACGTGTGATGGTAAATATCACTGAACTCGCTGCCATGACAGGGAGTGACACTAAGGATGCCATTCCCCTTCCAAGAGACAGGGGCATCTCAGCTGGAGCCCACTGAAGGCCTTGCAAAACCAGTCCAGTGCTACTAAACAATCCAGATTTCCAAAAGAAGCTGAAGATGTGCAACTGTTGATCTTAAAACGTTAGCAAAAATTCCAAACTTTTCTAAAGCACTGTGCAGACCAGAAGGAACTGTCTCTGGCCTTTGATTAACGATGCTTCTTGTTCGTCAAACCCTGTCCACCCCGCACCTTTGCACCTGTAGTTCCTTACGCCCAGGACCTCCACCCTCCTCCAGTTAGTTACTCTTAAAGTGCATTTTAAATGTTAATTCTTCTGATTCTTGTCTCTGTAATAACACTTGTGCCTCTGTATAATGGCTGTCACATATATCGTCCTATTAGGCCGTGAGCTCCTTCTGGGCAGAAATGGTATCTCACTCATCTGTGTCCCCAGGCCACGTAAAGGATCACAGTAGCTGCTACTGAACTGAGCTGTGATGCTCTTCTCAGGGAGTCCTGTCTGGAACGTGCCCTGAACCCAGCCTGCATCCCTCCACAACGACAGGCCTCCCTCACCTTAAGGATGTCCTTAATGATCTTCTTCTCATCATGGAACCGTGCCTTTAAGTCCTCCACATAGAACTTGAACAAGTCCAGAGGGGTGGAGCCTGCGGGAGGAGGTAGGGAGGGGGGCCTGGCGGTGGCAGCTTCCCGAGGCCTGAGGGTCGGGTCAGGACCCGGGAGCAGGGATGCAGAGAGGCTGGCCGGGCAGGAAGCCAGGCCAGAGAAGGGGAGCCCAGCTGTCTTACCCGGCTGGCCCAGCATGTTGGCAAAGCGGACGTCAGTGCTGACCGCTGGGTACAGCTCCATCCAGGTGGACATAGAGTGCAGCTGCCCTGTCTCATGCAGCTCATCCAGGAAGGTCTGTGCAGGGAAAGGCCGGTTAGAGGGAGAGTGAGACAGGGAGGAAGGCAGAGCCAAAGGAGGAAGAGAGGAGATGGCAGGGGAGGCGGGGACCATCCAGATTGAGGAAATGCAGGCCAGGGAGCCAGAGATGAAGAGACACAGATGGGGAGGCAGAGAGCAGTGGAAAAGGAAAGAAGGTAAATACAGAGAGGGACAGACTAAAACATGGGGTGAGCCAGGCTGGGAGGCAGACACAAAACTTGCCTGTAGCACAACCTTCCTATGACTTGGCTTCAACTTCGCTTTGTGTTACCGCCACTACCACCACATTTGCCACCTCAAACCTGGAGGATAAGCTTTGCCTGTCTGGCTCCCCACCAAAGGCAGATAAGCAGCCTCGCTGCCAAGCTGCCTTTAGGGTACTCTCTGCTGGGTTTCTAGGTGCATACATCCCATCTCCCTACAGGAGCAAGGCCAAGTTGAGGGGACACAGCATGGGAACCTATAGGCAGAAGGCGGTCTTGTGGAGACAGACAGAACTGAGCAGACAGAACAGTGGGCCTGCTATGGTCCGAGGCAGAGCTGAGCTTTCAGGGGGCGGCAAAGATACCTGGAAGGCCTCCCGGTTCTTGCGTTGCTGGCGCCGCTCCCTAAGCCGGGCCCGCTCCCGCTCCTCCTCCTCCTCCCTCTCCAAAGCTCGGATGTGCTCCTCAAAGCAGATCAGCGCATCTTCCTTGTCCATGTCTAACCACAGAGGGGAGGCTCAGCAGGCATTGCACCAGTGGGATACCCTCTCGGCTCCCCGCAGCGCCCCCTTCCCCTCCCCGCTTCCAGGATGTTGCCCCTGTAGGTGCTGGGGACAGCCAGAATGTGGGGCAATGTGAAAAGAGGGCTCTGTGGGAGGGAGTACTGGAACAGTTGTTCTTGAGGAGAGATCATTAATTGCATAAGAAAAAAATCAGCAAGAATTTGGCTCTTGTAAATTTAGTTACCAAAGTTGTCATGTTTATGAAATCAGTTCTCTTAGGACCTAAGGTTTCAGTTTATGGAACTGGGAATCAATCAGGCTGTGATCCAGTTTTAGAAAGTGTATTTCTGATATTGCCAGTGATTACATTACAGGCCAACAGCAGCTTATTGTAACACGTGTGACCAGTTATTGCCCACGGTGCCATGACAATTTAAGAATTCACATTAGCTATGACAGCCCTCATCTCCAGGTCTTCTGATTCCTATCCCAAGTTCTTCCAAGGACACACTTCTTAGATCAACAGTGACCCAGAGGGAGAGGGTAATCTGAGCATTCTGGCATCTCCAGAATCCAGAGAGCACGGGGACTGAGTGCTGGGGACCCCTAGATGGCGGGAGGACAGGAGGCACAGGTGACATGTGTGAAATAGGCTCTGGGGACCCAGGTCAGTGATGAAAGGGGAACGGGCAGGTGGGAGTGGAGGCCTGGCTTACTCTGAAGCTGATGGTCCTGAGCAAAGCTGGGGTTATCCATGAGGTACTGCTGGGCCTGGGACCATGTGGTTTGGAAGTTGACGCTACTCATCCCATCCAGGATGCTCTTGAGGGCCTGGATATTGCGGCGCCGTAGCTGCTTGGCCTGTTCCTGGAGAGGCAGGGCAGGCCGAAGTACTTAAGTGGTGCTGGGCAGAGGAGGATTTGGGGAAAGGAAGGTAGCTAGGGAACCCTAGGAGTGCCAGATGCAAGGCTTTCATATCCCCAGAAAGGGGAAGGAGCACAGTTACAGACCAATCCCTCAGCGAGTCCTTCCCGCCCTCCAATGCTCCGGGTCATAGGCCCAGAACAGAAATGAAGGAATGTGCAAGTGCTACACCAGCTTCAGAGTAAAGAGCTAGGACCCTGGGGCATTGGAGAAATTAATGACCCTGGTCCATAAGGAGCAAAAAAATGAAGACTCTAAGATGAGCCTGGGGCTGATGGATGCAGCCCATGACTATTACCTTCTCCTTCTTGGCCAGGAAGAAGAGGACATCATCATAAACCTCTTTTCGATCCCTCTCAGGGACCACAGCCCAGACCTCCAGCTCCCCAAAGGTCTGTTCTGCCCGCCTGTGGAGCACATGAGCTGTGGGTAGGCAGGCAGAGACCAGGGGCCCTGGGCACATGTGGTCTCAGGGTCCCCCAGCCCCGCCCCAGCCCGGGCCCCTGACCGGTAGCGGGTGGTGGAGGTCATGCGCTCGTGCTGCTCCAGGAAGTGCTGCAAAGTCTGCTTGGCCTCCTTGGCCCTCAGCCGCGCCTCTTCCTTCTCCTCCTTCTCCCGCTGCGCCTTGTAGGCATTAAATGCCTGCTTTTTCTCACTCAGTTTGGGCAAGGCACTGGGTGGGAAGAGGAGTCAGCCTAAGCCACCCTGTGGTTCATGCATGGCACACTGGGAACAGGTCTCCACCAACTCGAGTGAGGGGTCTACCCATGGGCACAGCAGGCTGCAGGGGCTCTGGGTACAGGGAGGCAAGAAAAACCTCTGGGGAAGGGTGAGAGGTAGTGAAAGGAACAGATGGGTTCCAGGACACTGATAATACCTTATGCTTTGGGGTGTTCAAATTATAGTCAGGGATATGCCCTAACCTTCCCCCAATTAATTCAAATCAATTCAATTCAACAAGCATTTATTGAATGTCTCATATCAGATACCTTTCCCTCCTGGAGGTCTTCCATAGCTTCTCTTCCCCTTGAACCTTCACTCATCTACCACTCTCCTCACCCTGGCCCCTCGGAGCCCAAGTATCGAGCTGGGGCTTCTCAGGGAGTCCCTGACCAGCTTCTCTCATGAACAGGGTCTGGAGGCCTGGCTCCCTCTGCCCAGGCCTACCTGTAACGGGGGTCGGTGACTACCATCTTCATGGCCTGTTCCCATGAGGCATTGGAGGGGACAGCCTGGAATGGAGCAGTGGGTGTCACAGAGCCTGGCCCCCTGTGGCCCCTCCAGGCCCACCCTGGGAACCCCGTCTCCCGTACCTTGTCCCTCAGCAAGTCCTTAAAGGCCTGCTTGGCCTTCTCACGGTTACTCCAGCTGAGGCCAGACCGCTCCGGTTCTGGCTTTGACTCCTCTTCCTCTTGTTGGGGCTGATGCTGTCCAGCAGAACTGGGGAAGCAAAGGAGGTTCAGCCACCACATGCCCAGCCCCAGTAGGTTTCAGGGTCATGGCTGATCCACAGCAAGCCGCCTGCTTCTTGCTCCCTAAGCAGACTTTTTCTGCCTTTCAGAGGTCATATCCCACACCCTTTCCAAGAGGCCGAGCAGAGGTAAAGGGCTGGACCAGGCTGGCAGCCCGAGGCCAGCATCCAAACTGCTGTGGGGACAGCCTCACCTGCTGGGGCCCTCTGGCTGCTGCAGGAAGCCCTGCTCCAGGGGCTGGCCAGCATGTGACGCATCGCAGTCTTCACTCCCACCTGGCTCGGGTTCTAGAAGGCCCACAGGCAGCGGGGTGGGGCCAGAAGGCGCAGGTGGGGGGTCAGGCTGTGGCTGAGGAGGCTGCGGCTGCAGTGTCTGGGGCTGCTGCTGCTGTTTCCTGCAGGCGAGCCAGGAGGGCAGAATCCAGAATGGAGCAGGGAGAGATGGTCAGGGACTGGCAGGACTCTAGCCTGAGAAGAGCTGGGGACAGAGTGGCCCACTTCTCAAGGAGACAGAGCTCGCTCTTCCTTCCAGAGCAGGGATCATGGGGAGAGAGTCCACTTCCACCCTCAGGTGGTCCCAAGTATGGAGGGATAGGTGGGCAAGATGAGCAAGTTACTCACCCTACAGCCTCTTGTTTGACTAGAGCTGCAATGAGAGAAGATACATGGTCACCAGGCGGCAAGGGCACCTTCCACAGCCCCCTCTCCAGGCCCCCCATCCTCACCCTCGAGGTCATCCAGGTCCTTCGGCCGGGTCCAGCGGGACTCCTTACTCTGGTTGTTATAGTAGTAAGGTTTGCCCGTGTCCGACTTGTACTCTTTCCAGGGACTCTGGGACAGCAGCAGCTGTGAGAGGGGCAGACATCAGTGGCTGATGGAGCTAAGGTGACGCTGTGAGAACAGGGACCCAGGAGTTTTAGCTACCACCTGGCCTGGCTCAACATGGGGCAAGGTGGACTTCCCGAGATCCTAGGAGGTTAGGGTTGTCAGGGATCTTGGGATCAGAGGAACTGTAATGTGTATGATTTATAAACTCAGGGGAGATCAAGCACTTGGAAGGGTCAGGGCAGCTGAAAGGAAGGGCCAGAAAGCCTAGCTCAGGACCTCCGCCTTGGACTTGAGCACGCTGGGCTTCTCCCACACGGACTGCTTGTCGTCAGCATTGTAGTAGTAGATGCGCCCATCAGGGGCTACATGCTCACTCCATAGGGCCCTCTGGGGGAGGGGGGTGCACAGAATGGTGGTCAAGGCCCCTTTCCCAAAGCTTCTCCTCACCCCAAAGACTGAACCATTAGCCCCCCACTTTCAGCCTTTCTACCCAGAGATCCCTGAGCTGGAAGAACTCACCAGAGGGCCTGTCCCAGCCACAGCAGCTAGAAAAGAAGACAAAGGAAAGATACTGAGTCCTTGCTCCAACCTGCATCTTATCCCCATCTAGTCCTCCCTTTCTCCATCCCCAATATATACCCCTGGTCCCATCAGCATCCCAGGTTCCCTGGCATCCCAACAGGCATGATCCAGGGTGGACTCTAGTCCCCTCTCCCCTGTACCCCCCGACCTCCGAGCCTGGGGGGAGCAGGCCCCCAGAAGACTCACAGCTGGCGGTGTCCACACCTGGAGCCGTCTGCCGAAGAAAGAGGAGGGGGAAGGGTTGGGGCCAAGCCCAGTGGCCCCCAGGACCCAGGCCATGGGGGATAGAGAAGCAGGCCAGGCCAAGATCCAGGTGTCCTGCTACCTAACACGCTTCCCCCACTTCCTGGGTGGTGGCTCTAGGATCCGGGGGGAATCACACAGCGGCTCCTTTCTTTGTTTTCCTCAGTGAGAGTATTTTCTTGAGACCCATCCCTTCCACAATGGATGCCAAATTCTACATCCTACCCAGACTACTGCACTGAGCAACAGCACAAGAAGGTACAGCGAGATCCCCAAGCGCTGTTGTTTTCTCCCAAGAAGACATGGAGAGGGACTCTATGTAAGTCCACAGCCTGGCTCTGTGAGTCAAGCAGTCTGGCCTCAGTGTGTTCCTTAAGGGAGATGGACACAATGGCAAATAACAACAGAAATGTACATGGCTTTGGGGGAGAGGGAGAAACAAGAAGAGCTAGTACACAGCTGGAGAGGACTCCAGTGTGGGGAATGCTGACAGGGACCACGATGGATCCGATGAGAAGAGAGAAAGAATGGAGGCCATATTCCTGAACTCCAAATCAGACCCCACAGTGCTGTAATACAGAGCTGCTTCCTGCTGGCCCCAGTGCTTACCGCTGCGGTGACAGGCACTGCAGGCATCAGCATTCCTGGCATCATGGGAGGTACCATTCCTGGTATCTACGGATATAAAGACAAAAACCAGCTACTGAGGCGGAGGCAGGCACAGGCTTGGCAGGACGATTCAGCTGTGTTCAGGATCTTCACATGGGCACCTCCTCAGGCAATGCCCTGAGGGATTAAGGGCTTCTGGCCTAGCCTGAGACTTTTGTCCAGTCATTCAGCAGACAAATCCACATGGGCCTGACCCAAAGCTCCCTACCCAGTTCCTGAAGTCCAGACCCCCAGCTCGCATCTCCATCTGCAGATAAACTGAGTTTTCCTGAGATCCTGGTGCAGAGAAGAGGATTACCTGTGTGAGTGGTGGTGGTGACCCCATTGGGGGTAGCATCGGGGGCATGATGCCAGGTGGCATGGGGGGGATGGCTGGTGGTCTCTGACTCATGGGTGGTAGCCCCATCGGAGGGAAGGGCGGAGGGATTCCTGGAGGGGGCATCTGGAATGGAAAGGAGGAAAATAAGAGATGCTGAGCAGAGAAGATACCGCCTTGGTTCTGGCAGAAAACATCCACTTGTCTCTCACCTGAACCTTCCACCCTGGCTCTGAGACAATTTCAAAGTTTAGCTTGCTAAGCCCAAAGTATGAAACTGCCACCCTCCTCACCACTGAGAAAGACTGATAACTGGGGGTTCCTTGGGTCTAACAGGAAAGCACACAGCTTCTTGAGGCAGGGAAGGGAGAAGGAAAAGCAAAGTATAACCAACACCAGCCTGCAGCTGGAAGCTCCATGTCTTTTGCATCTCTCCTCAGAGGCTTCTCAGATGCAGGGCCAAAAGGCATGTGTCCAGTTCCCTGCCTCCCACCCCTTTTTCTCCACCTCAATGACTATCAGTTGCCAGTCCAGCCTGACTTATGTGGCATGTTTTTAAAATACAGAGAAGGAGTAAAAGAGACAGACAGCCCTCCCTGCCCTCACACTACCGGGGTCTTTCCACTTCCACTTCCACGCTGGCCCCAGTACGTCCCCAGGACAAAACACGAAGGAGGAACTGTCAATTTTATGACCGGAGAGCTGAACAGCAGCGTCTCCTACCCCAACACCCCAGCAAAACCATCCCTCTTCCAAGGGCAGCAGGAAAGGTTTTTTACACAAAAACCGTGCATCAGTGCGGGGCACTGGGGAGTTAAGGGTGCAGGCCGGAAAAGCCAAGCCCAGGGAAAGTCATGAAACTTACGAAGGGTGGTGGCATCATGGGGGGCCCCGGTGGGAAGGGGGCAGGCGCTGCTGGGGGCCGGGGACCAGAATCGGGAACCGACTGTTGAGGGAGAGAAAAGTCATAGGATCCAGGATGGGCAAAGAGATGAGTGTTTGCAAAAGGGAAGCAGAGGGGTGAGGATAAAAAGGAGCATATATTTCAGAGAAAGAGTCCCCAAGACCAACTTCTGCCCACTCCCAGCTCTGAGCCCGGGATAGGTCTGCTCTCTTCCACCAGCTCAGAGCCAGCTGACTGAGCCCTTCAATGTCATCTTTAATTTAGAAGTTTCCATTTTGCCAAAGCCACAGAAAAGTTGGAGGCTGTACTACAGGCAGACTGGCTCTGCCCAAGGCATTTCATCCACTCTCCTGTCTGTAGGCAAAGCTGTGCCTCCCTCAGACCAGTTAAACGCGGCCTCTCATTCATAAAATATCCAGGCAGCGGTCTCTTTTCCTGTTTCCCCACCTGACTTCAGCCAGGTACAGAGCCCTCTAAACACAACTAATAACTAGTCCTTCATAAGTACTAGTCTCCCCAGCTCTCCTCTCCCTCCGCTATCTGGCCTCAATCTTTAGTCAATCACTCTTTGATATCTTCCACTCCCAATCACCTTCATCTCTTTAGATGTACTCCTCCCCCCACAGATCCTGACCTCCCTCCCTGGGGGTCAGGCTTTGGAGCCTAGGTTTCCCCATCGCATACCTAATGGCTAGCCACGTCCCAGCCTTTAGTTCTCGGCTTAAATATCACTTACTCTAAGAAGTCTTCCTGACTCTGAAGCAGATCCTCCCAATTTATTCTGTCTGGTCTCCTTTTTTGTTTCCCTTTAATAGAGGGTAATATCATTCCACAGGGCAGGGATCATATCTGATTTGTTAAAAGTTGGATTCTTGGAACCTACAAGAATATCTGGCACATAATGGGCACTCAATAAATATTGGATGGATGAATGACAAGTGAGAGAACAAAAATACTCTCTATATAGAACCTTCCAGCTCTAAATATTCGTCCTACAGATAAAGCCCCACATGGCCAAAATGATGTCTATACAAGATTTCCAGTTCAGCATTATTTGTTAAAATTAGAATCAGCCTAAATATCCACCAATATGGAACTACAAAATTACAAACATAAAATGGAATACTATGCAGTCATAAAAAAGAACGAAGCTCATTGTCTTATATGAAACAACCTCTAAGATATATTAACAAATGGGGGGAGAAACAAAGTGTGAAGTTTCATCACTTGTATAAAAACCGGACACAAAAAATGACAAATTGGTGGGAGGGGGACTGAGGTGGAAAGGAGATTTATCACTCTGCCCTTTTGTAACTTTTGCACTCATATGACTATGTCACCCATTCGAAAAATTTTAAGTAAACTGAGGCGTGGAGATGCAGCCAAAAGGCCCTGCCATTCCTCCTCTTTGCTTGAAAGGAGGGGGTGGTGGGGAAGAGACCCAGGGAGAGATGATCCAAGAGCCACCTCACTGCTCCCAATTGTTCCTATGTTGAGAAGTCTCAGCTCTTTTTCTTTTAAAGGAAGGCACCAGAGACCTGTGTAGTGCTCACTGTCCCTTTGGCCTCTGGCCTCTCCTTTTCTTTTCTTTTTATTTACTTATTTATTTTTAATATATATTTCCCATTTTTTAAAAAGATTTAATAGCATAGGTTTTCTTTTTTTTTTTAAATATATTTTATTGATTTTTCACAGAGAGGAAGAGAGAGGGATAGAGAGTTAGAAATATCGATGAGAAAGAATCATCGATCAGCTGCCTCCTGCACACCCCCTACTGGGGATATGCCCGCAACCCAGATACATGCCCTTGATCGGAATCGAACCCGGGTCCCTTCAGTCCCCAAGCCGACGCTCTATTCACTGAGCCAAACTGGTCTAGGCTAGCATAGGTTTTCTTAATTGATTTCAGAGAGGAACGGAAAGGGAGAGATAGAAACAATGATGAGAGAGAATGATTGATCAGCTGTCGGCCGCACGCCCCATACTGGGTATCAAGCCCGTAACCTGGGCATGTTCTCTAACCGGGAATCAAACCACGATCTGGTGTGTAGGTCAATGCTCAACCACTGAACCACACAGGCCGGGACCTTCTTTACTTCCAAGGCACACCAAGCAATCTGCCTAAGAAACCTCAGCTTTTAAAAATACTTTCTAATTTCTGCCTTTACCAATAACTGTGCCTCCTCTCTTCCTTGTCCTAAGGAGAGAGGGGGTAAGCCAAACTGCTCCAACTTGAATCACCTTTTCTCAGAGTTCAACTGCTCTAGTCTTGTATCAGACCTGCTCCTCCCTGAATACTTTCCTCAGCATAAGAAGTCAGAAACTAATCATATAAGAAGAAATCCAATTCTTTGTGCCACACTTCCCCACCTCAAGCTGCCTTAGGATCACCCTACCTTCCCAAATGCTACGTAACTATCTTTATGGGTCCTACCAGGCATCAGTGGTTTGTTGCCCATGTCAGAGACTGGTGCTCCCAGTTGTCCAAGATTAGAAATATGAGTGTCACTCTCCACACCTCCCTCTTCCTTCTCAATACATCATTGAGTCCTATTAACTTTACCTGCTGAAGATTTATAGAATCCATATACTCCCCTCCATTTCCTCCTCCTCACCTACCAACCCTTTCAGCGGGAATCTCACTCAAACCTGCAGCTATAATGAGCTCATCAAAACGCACATCAGGCCCTACCAGTTTGGCTCAGTGGATAGAGCATTGGCCTGCAGGATTAAGGGGTTCCAGGTTTGATTCAGGTCAAGGGTACGTGCTCATGTCGTGGGCTCAATCCCCATGAATCTCTTATCATTGATGTTTCTATCTCTCTCCCTCTCCGAAATTAATAAAAATATATATATTTTTTAAAATGAATCTCAGACCATGTTACTTTCTTGCTTAAAACTCTTCAATGGCTTTCCACTGTTCTTAGTGTAAAGACTAAACCTCTGGGAGGCTGTAATAGATTTGCTCCCAGCTGCCTTGTCAGACTCACCATGCTTAGCTCCTGGGTCTGCGCTCCACCACTCACCTTCTCTCAGTTCTCCACCTCAGCACTCACCTTCTCTCAGTTCTCCACCTCAGCACTCACCTTCTCTCAGTTCTCCACCTCAGCATTCACCTTCTCTCAGTTCTCCACCTCAGCATTCACCTTCTCTCAGTTCTTCACCTCAGCACTCACCTTCGTGTGGGGTAATCTTCCCACCAACCCCACCCATCTCAACTATATATCCTTCACCTCTACTGGCCATCATTTTCTCAGAAAGTCTTCCTCAACCCAGACCAGTCAGTACCCTCCTGTACATGCTTGTACACCATAACCTTCCCCATCAGCAATTATCCATTGGAATTTTACAGTTTTTTGTATGATTCTGATTTACTATTATTGGCATTAACAAAAAACAAATGCCTGCCAATTAAATCATGCTACTCCATTGATTTTTAGATGCTTCTTGCCTTCAGAAATGTTAGATTCTGAGTCTTGGAATTAATGAAATATCTGCTTGCTGCCTCACTAGGCTGAAAACTCTAAGGGGCAGATTTTAATCTGCTGTTGCTCATCCCAATGTCCTATCCTCATTGATTTTCCTCACTCCCTGCTATTGACACACAGTAGGTACTAACAAATATTATTGCCTTAATGGCTGGATGGTCTTGACAAGTCCCACAAGACAAAGTCAGTGGGAAGGCCTAGTATCCCTAGCATCCAGCGAACACAGGATCCCAGAGATGGAGAGGGGACTCTGGCAACCACCCAAGGTAGCCCCCTTTTTTCAGATAAGAAAACGAGGGGCAATAATAATTCCTACAGCTGGTTAGGGACAGAGCCAAGACTAGATCTAATCTGTCTTCCAACCCTACTCCCTTAAAAGCACAGTCCTTGCCACAGGAAACAGGTCTGTTTTTTCACTCCAACATTTCCCCAGAAACCCATGTAGTTAAATCAGCAAGGGTCCAACATTTCCTTCCTTGAAATCAGTGGTGGGTCTCTACTGCCCACCCTACAGAATCTCTCATTTAACATTCAGTCTTTCAATAAGGCCCATGCCATAACTCTTCTTGACTCCTCCTGATTCAATGGCTTCCCTTGTCCCTTTTACACACAAATTACTCCATGTGTTTCTTTTATTCCACTTTGTCTCTCACCTTGTTCAAGATGATCCAAAATTCACCTCCTTTGGGTTACCTTTATGACTGTTTTTCATACACACACACACACACACACACACACACACTCCTGTCTACTTGTGTCCTCTCGGGAAAACTGCTGCATTACTTTGCACCCAGCAACAAGCTACTCTGTAGATGTTTCTTTACACTACACTTTCCCACCTCAAACTGCCTCAGGGTCCTGGGACTGCCTGTCGCCCTACTTGGGTGGGGATTTTCCTACATTCAGAGATTGCGTTTTCTTTTTTAAGCTTCCTCTGAGTGTCTAGTCAGGGCCCTGGTCACAAAGTGCTGTGACAAAATGCAGACTCATCCTTAACCTTATTCGATTTTTGCATATTGGAATATTCTAATAGGAAAGTGTTTGTGTGTATGTGTGTGTGGCGAGAGGGAGTGAGGGGAAGACGTGTGTGCATGTGCCCAGGTACCTTTATATAAATTCTCTGGGTAAAGGCTGACTGTGATGAGACAGAGAAACAGCTTGGCAGAGGTCTGTGTGGCTATGGAAAGGGAACTGGAGTTAAATATTGGCTTGGAAAAACCTAAATAATGAAAAACTAAGTGTATATGACCATCTTTAACTTGGAATGGAGATCCCTGGCAAGGTTCCAGACACTGGCCTGTTTCTGGATAGAGCAATTGCATGAACATAAATTTCTATGGAACTTCCAAAGCCCTCCCTTTGCTAAGCCTCCCTGTGCGATGTGTATGCTTGCTTGCTTTCTTTCTTTCTTTTTCTTTCTTTCCTGAAACATCCATTCCTCTATCTATTTTGCTGCAGTGCAGGTACAACTTTGGATCTTATTACACTTCTAGGTGAGAATCTGAAGTAACTCATGTGAGAAAGAGATATAAGAAAAGGGGCTGAAAGAGAAGCAGACCCTGTGTACTCCTTGGAACAAAAACACATTTGTGGGCTGGGGAGAGAGGAGAAAGACAACTGATCATCTGATCATGTGTTCACCTGGACCAGTGGAAAGACACCCCTCCAAGATGCAATCAATTCTCATCCTCTACTTCTAAGGGACATCTCAGAATTGAAGATTCAAGAACAAAAGAAAAAAAGGACAAGAGCAGAAAAAGAGAAAGAATGGAAAGAGGAAACTATTGCCCTGACTGGTTTTCTCCGTGGTTAGCGCGTCAGAGGGTTCCATTCCCCATTAGGGCCAAATTGCCAGCTCAATCCCCAGCAAGGGGCATGCAGAAGGCAGCCAATCAATGATTCTCTCTCATCATTGATGTTTCTCTTTCTCCTTTCCTCTCTGAAATACACACACACACACACACACACACACACACACAAATGTATATATTTATATATGAGAAGGCATACCCCTATTTTGTAAAAACTGCTGTCTGGAATTCTCTGTTTTTCTTAGCCTCTTATTCTAAAAAATAACTTTGCTTTCTAGCCTGCTTTAGCTTGCTTGAATAATGAGGACAATAAACTTAGCTGTCTAACCTTGTAGGTCAGACTAGGTATGCCCATAATTTTTAGAACTGTGTTTGTTTTCAAAGACAGCAACGAGATAACCATTAATAGCACAGAGGGCTGGCTCCTTAATAAAAAGGGAAGTTCTGCTTGTAGCTTTGCTTAGAATTTGAATTCATTTTCTCTAAGCCCACCGCGGTGAATAAAGTGTATCTCCAAACTCTCCTGCATTGATTATTCCAGTTCTCTGTGTGTGTGTGTGTGTGTGTGTGTGTGTGTGTGTATGTATTTATATCATGTACCATGGTTGGTTTGGACCCTGGTCAGAGCATGGGTGCTGTTTGGGTTGCATTCGGGAGGCAACCAATTGATGCGATCGATGTTTCTTTCCCTCTCTCTTCTACTCTCTCTAAAAAAATGACTGGATGGCAGCTGCCCTCTTGGCGCAGTAGGCAGCACGTCAGTCTCATTAAAAAAAAAAAAAAACGACTGGAAAAAATATTCTCAGGTGAGGATTTTAAAAAAGAAGGAAATGGTAGCAGCTAACAGCTAATATTTATTGAGTGCTTATTATGAGCCAAATACCATGACAAACATTTAATCCTCACAAACATCTTAGACGTTATTATCCCCATTTTATAAAGAAACTGAGGTTCAAAGAAATTAAATGGCAGGTGACCCCAAAGTCTGTGCTTTCAAGTACTTAAAAACACTCCCGTCTAGCAAGAATGATGGTGCCACAGGTATTTCTTTCATTCAGATTCACTGGTTTGTTTTTCATGCTCACTTCTTTTTATTTTTTTAACTGAATCTATTGGGGTGACATTGGTTAATGAAATTATATAGGTTTCAGATAGCGTTCTGTTTTCTTCCCCAATCCTCACACAATTCTGAACTCCTCACACACAGCTAGATGATCCCAAGGTTGCTCAGGTCTGACTCAGTCCTTGAAGAGCTTTGTGTTGGTAAAGGAAGACTGAAAGGCACATCTCTCAGAAAGAGGGAGTCATCACCAAGAAGAAAAGTATCATGGAGGCTGAGACCAGCTGACTACCTACCCGGCATGTGGTCTATCCACACGCTGCCCTTCCTCACCTGCCCTCCACAGCATGAGCCTTCCCTCTCTTCTTTCAAGACCATCCTAGTCCCCCTCTCCTGAGCCAGCGGTATGCTTCCTGCTTGCAAAGATACTGTTTTACTACAATATATCTTCCACTGCTGCCGTCTAACCTGCCATTTTATTCTCCCTCTGAAGAACAAAATGCTACTCCTGGCCTCCATCTTTCTGGGTTAGGCCTCAGCCTCCTCCTCCTCCTGAGAGGTGTCTCCCATCCCTCCAGCAGGATGCAGACCGCAGGCTCCGGCCTCCCATCCCCCACCTCCCGGGGGATTCTCTGCAGCCCCAGCTGAAGGCCGGCCTCCATCTTCATCTTTTGTTTCCCGTCTTAGAACACACTCTCCCAAAATCTCTCCTCAAGAGCCACTCGTGTGTAGCTGGAAGGGATGTGAGCTATCCTTCTCATCCATCCCCCACCCCCCCCTTTTTTTTTCTACGATAGGAAATCTGAGGCCCAAAGCGAAGTAGTGACTTGCCCAAGGTCACACAGAGTTGTGAGTTAGCTGAGGGCAGAGCCAGGACAGGGACCAGGGCCCGGTGCTTCTATTTCTGGGGCTCTCCAGCCCCGGGGGGGCAGAGCCCCCTCCTCCCCTCAGCAGACGAGGCGAGGCTGAGAGGGTCTCGGGAGGGAACACGCACCGAGTCTGGGGAGGCGCATGTCGCACGCCAGATATCCCAGGAGAAACTGGGGCTGCCGGCTCCCCGCAGTTGCCACATCTCCTGTCCCCTACCTCCTTTCCCGGCCATTCTCCACAAGCCCCCCTTCACTCCTTCCTTCTCTCCTCACCCAGGCACGCAATTCCCATTCCCCTCCCGGCCCCCTCCCGCCATCCTCCATCATGGCCTTTCCCACCCCTTCTCCCCAAATCCCGGACCCCTGCCCCTTCCCGGGCTCCTCGCCCTTATCCCTCAAGTCCCTGGCCCTCCCTCGGGGTCCCGCGTACCCCCGGCGGCCTCCCCGCCCCCCTGGCCCCGGCACGGGGCGCGGGGGGCGCCGTGGAACCGCCCGGGCCCCGCCACCCCCGCACGAGAACGTTACCATGCCGGGGCCTCGGAGCAGCGGAGCCGGCTGCGCCCACCCGCTAGTAAGAGCCTCTCTGATTGGCCAGGCCGCGGCCGGGAAGGCGGGACCAGGAGGGGGTCGCACCCCTTGGTGGCCGGGGCTCCCGGCGCTCGCGTCGACCAGCCGGGCCCGCACCGGCCCCGAGCGAGCGCCCCGGCCCGGCCCCGCCCCCCGGCGCGGAGAGCTGCCCCGCCCCGCGCGGGTCCGGCGCCGCCC